GACTGTGGTGTGTGACAAAGCATGCGCCACACCTTGATGCCAAAATTGGATCTACAGATGCTTTAGTTGTGTTTTTTGTGGGGGTGCCAGGGATTGCAGATGGCCGACCTGGATGGTCCAAGGAGCTGTGACAATGAGACGAGGCAAAATTATTCCTTCAAGGGTGCCCGAGTTTGTCCGTTGTGTGTCGAAAGCACTTCGAAAGTGCACGTGCAGGCAGGGGCGCGTGCGCGCAGATAAGAAAAATGCTGCAATGACAGTAGTGAAACCATGATGATGCAACAGGAGCTTCATCGCTCCACTCAGCATGCGGCGTCGGACATGCTATCTTTGCAGCTGCGAGGACTGATAGTTCCAAGTCGTGCAGATGACATGCCCGAACAGGCCTGGTTTCAGAATTGGCCGCACATCCTGTGTCAAGGAGTTGCTCTTTGCCAGAATGGTGTTTCCCACCAGCAGTCCTGCTTCTGAAAAGAAGCGATGGACAAGCTAACCGAGCTGCCGTGATTATGTGGGCATGCAAACACACAACGTGACCAGCCATTGCAAGTCACACAAGACTTTGTCCGGAAAAGTGCTGTCCTGTCAAGGTTGCGTAAAGCAGCGGACTGAAAATGCCACCGAGAATGCTCAAAGATGCGACTTTCTTGGCCAAAGCCGCCATTACAGCCTGACGCAACGGAGCTGCGAGCTAAATGATTGGGTTAGGACCAGTAGGAGCCTTTGCATCTGGGTCTGTAAATACTCTCTAAGCCGTTACCTGAGCACTGGCCCTCACTACCCCAATCGTAGTTTCGGGTGACTCAACTACACGACAGTCAAAATTTCTGTAACCATGCACGACTATCCCATCCAGCTTCAAGACGTGCCGAATCAACCCGGCAAAGGCTGCGGAGTCTCGGAGCAGCTGAGTAACAACGAATGCCGTACCCGGAAGTCTCTCTCCGATGAATTCAGCCGCGCTCCGTCCTCGGCCTTGCAAGGCGAGATGGACAGATGCCCCAGTGCTCAAAAGTCGAAACGCCGCACATGTAGCAATGGAGTCCTGCCATGGCCACGACTCCCCTGTGTGGAGACCTCGAAGCCTCCAGGGTCCGCAGGCGCTTTTTGGTCAGTTTCGGGGACTGACATGCTATTAACATGCTGCTACCCTCTGAAGCATGTTGCATCTGGAAGTCAAGGTACACAAGGGGCAGAAAAGTTCCGTGAATGGTGGCATGCCACCAGAGATGCCACCAGAAGCAGACGTCTCCTCGGGCCAAAGTGGAACCGTTGAGCCATGCCGACTTCAGAGTAGTCGTCTAATGACTACAGTCATGATGACTAATGATGACTGCTAGTGTATACGGGCATATACGCTGCCGGCTGCTTGCGAAAGCATCCTTGCACATGCTGTTGTTTTGTCAAATGTAGCTATCACAATATATCACATGCATGCAAGCCTTTGAGCCAGCAGTTTCACATTGAACTGAGAAGGTTCTAATGATTCATATGACTTGACAGCAGATTGAGAATTGAGAACTTCGACAGATCCTCTCCAGAAGCTGTTGTTTTGTGTCAGTGGTGGTTTATGGACGCGCTTCTCAGAAGAGTTTGCCCGCCACCACTGGTGGGTGTAAACGGCACCTGCGCAATACAGCGTGTAGGCGCATCTCGTGGCAGGAGCATGCGATCGTGGGACCTTGTCAACTTCTGCTATGACACCCGAGGAATCGTAGATGGAAGCACGCATGTAGAAGGCGTCCTTCCAAGCAGAGATATGTAAGTCATGGGCATTAGAAGTGCAAACAGGTTCTGACAGTTTAAGGAAGCAGCAGCCAATGCTGGGCAGTCCACTGTCTAACCATGCGAGAAAGGCGATTTCTATAGTTCCAGACCACGCCCAACGAGGGTCTTTTTCTGCCATTCTGTCAAAGGGTCGAGGAATGCGGTATGTGGATGTAGACCTTTCGGGTTTAACACTTTACAAGAACCAGTGCCCGAGGCCAGGTATCACACAGAGATAGAATGGGCGGCAGAGCCTACTTAAAGTATATGAAGCTGTGACAAATTTCGAATTTTGCGACCGGCCCAGAGTGGCACAAGAGAGGACCAGCGACGCACAGGCCGTAGCCTGATGGTGAGGGTCCCAATTCCCGGCCTGTTTAAGCGTGTGCCTTCCTTTCCCACTGCAGCTTTCCATTGATTCAGGGCAATGCATCTCCCAACGAGGTCTGAGAAAAGAATTTGACAGGCCTGCCTTCATGCCGCAATTCTTAAAATTGCCTATGTATCCATGGAGCTGCTTGTGGACCACGAGTTTTCTGCAAAAGCCGTGTGCCCTTCACAGAAAAAGCACCTCTGCTTGTTCTCGTCATCTTCAGGTTGCACATGACGGCCATGGCTTTCCCAGCCTTTTCTTTCTTTGCTTTGCTTTTAAGTGTTTGCCGCCGCCATGGGCGCTCATGGCGTCGGCTCGGAGCTCTTGCCTTCGAGCTAGCAGGTAACGATGAACAACAATGAACAACAATGAACAACAATGAACAACAATGAACAACAATGAGCAACAATCAACAACAATGAACAACCGCAAGAACAGGCATGGCACCCGCAAACCACGAAGGAGTGTGGCAACAGAGTGAGCGTATCGACAGTCAATACAAATTCATGTGAGATCTGTAAGCCAAGGCACCTTGCCATCCTGTGCAGCTACCTTGAGCCCCACCGCTTGACTAAGCTGCAGTCCCAACTCCAATACCTGCACAGAGAAATGCACAGCTTGACCGACTTGCCTCATCCGACTGTGCTGCGTTGTGCTTGGGGATGTTTGAGCTAATAATACGGCCATTGCCTCCAGCGCCCTCTCTGGCCCCGAGCAGCTGGGCTCGACTTCCGCCCCTCGAGAACTCATGCGACAAGCATACGCGTACTGAAGCAGTGTAGCATTGTGCATCATTGTGCCATTATGCATCGGGTTTGCACAAATGGGCCTCCACTCGTGCGCCCTGCTGCTGCAGCGAGAAAGGATGTCAAGCCTGCACGAGGTGTGTGTATTCTGCACTGGAAGTTTCTCATTCTCGGAGGTCTAAGGAAGAGTCGCTGCCACCGCTCAGCAGCACGGAGACGATCCTCTTGAGCACTTCGGAGCACTTCAGGGCATTTCGCTAAGAAGATGCGGACGCCACGTGTGATGTGGTGCGATGCTCCTGCGCGGTGCCACCTTGCACTTGGGCCTTGGTCCGTCTCAATTTCAACACCTCCCTTACTCTTTTGCCTCCAGACAGAACTTGATTCATCGCTGTCGCTCCTCGGCAAAGACCGGGCCGGCAAAGCCTCGCAAGAAATGCTCCAGGCCACGGAGGTGGGCCTGCCAGCGGTCAATAACCATGGTGAACCATGCTAAGCTGCTAAGCATTGCTAGGCATTGCTGGGCATTGCTGGGCATTGCTGGGCATTGCTACGCATTGCTACGCATTGCTCAGCCCATGGCAGGGTTGTAGTGCAGCAGCCGATAGATGCCGGACAAGCGTCGTGTGGTCTCTGAACTGCGGACCTCGCTGTCCAGATGTGTCCAATACATTTTCTACATGCACAATAACGCTCGTATCATTCAGCAAGTCAAGACTCCGGCACAGGAGTCGTGAAGTATCCTGGCCTCACGCGAGTACGGCAAGAAGTTCCGCCATTCTTTGCAATGATCCTTTGCAAATGTGTTGAAGGACCTGGATTGCTGCCGTCGCAAAATCCAGTCCACGAAAGGCTGTCAGGAAGCCGGTGACCTCATTAGCGTTGGCAGGCCGGCTCGTACGAGTCAGTTCCACATTGCTCTGGACTCTAGATTCCTCCATCAGATTGCTCCATCAAAACAGAACCAGGTTCCTTTTGAGGCTAATGGCTTGCTGCTGTGGAAAAGGTAAATACTGCGGTTGCAAGGATCAGTCAAGGACCACACGCCACCCATGGGCCGCAGGGCTTGCAGAAACTGCGCCTTGCATGGTGCATCGAGGCTAATCACATATCGTCCTGCAGCTCACCACACCCACAGTCGGATACGTTTATAAATGTATAAACCCTCATTGCAGAGTTCGATTCGGGCTTCGCAGAATCAACCTGTATTAATATACCTATACATATCCATATATATATATATACATATGTATATGCTATGCCCCTTGAACGACCATAAACATCCAGATTCGCGGCCTCACCACAAGCCAACTCGAAAAACAACTGTTGGGTAGCCTTGGGGCTTAAGACTGTTGAGCGTGAGTCGTGACGGAAAAATGTCAGCCTCTCTCCCTACGCAACAACCCACAACGCTATGTGTAAGCCCCGGGGATGAACTTGGAATACTGTGGGCAAATGTCCATTCACTCTTCTCAGAACCTCCCCAAGACCTAATAGTAGTGACTCGCAAGGATCTCGTTTTCATTCTCAAAGTTGCCCAAAGGTCTCCCCACGTAGTTGTCATTTCTCAGGGGCAAGGCTCAGTAACTCGTCTCCAAACTCACAAGCAATCAAATCATAAACCCCGCCTTCCCAACGATTCCACAGAGTGATATGGCTGTCGAGAATACTGATAACGAATATCCACATAATCTTTGGCCTTTCTCAGGGAAAACCCTTTCTCTTGCGCAAGGGCGGGGGGCGGGTGTGTTCAGCTTCAGTTTCCATTTATGGAGAGCGGAGAGACAATTTGTCCATCCAGGGAGAAGGTGGGCGGGGGGTGGGGGGGGGTGCTTCGGTTAAAGTTGATTTTTCCCAAAGAGGGGGGTTCCGTTTCCGTTTCTGCTTCGGGGAGAGAGACAGAGAGAGAGAGGAGTCCGTTCCCAGAACGGTGGGGGAGTTTCCGTGTCGATTCTTTTTGCAGGGGCAATGGTTCAGTTTCCATCTCAGTCTATGAGTGTGTCAACAGTCAACAACAAACATGGGAAAGCCGACAATGTCTTTCCAAGCCCTATCGGCAATTTTGACAACATGATTCTAAACTTCCTCTGTGGTTCTTACGAATGCAACAAAATCCAGCCAATCAGGGCAGGGCAAGACGTGCCGGCGTCAACTCAGGCTCTTTCCTTTGCTGCTGACATACGAAATCACGCGTCATCTGCTGTGGCAATTGCTGTGGATGCTGATGGCCGCAGGACTCTAGGGCAGCTGCGCTGGGTTCTTGCTACCGTGATTGATGGTGGCCTTCAACCTCTGTCAAAGCACAAGGCCAGGCCAGCCAAGGCCGCGCAACAGATCGCAACAAACTTTCTCTGGCCCACGAGCAGGACTGTATTTACTGTACAGCTCATGCACATTCATGCACCACACCGACTCCTCACTGACCCTTGGCTGGGCTGGGGCTTTGTTGGGCTTGTCATCGGTCTGGTTTCTAGTTATTGGTGTTCTCTATCGTTCTCTCAAGGCAGCCCTGAAGATCTTGTTGTAAGACAGTGCTTGGCTTCACGTCCTGTTGTGAAAGGGTTTTGTACCATGTAGGGATTCGAGACATAGCATAGCAGCAATTTTGTTGGGATCCTTCGGATCCTTCAGTCCCTGGATGCTGCGAAATGCACGAAAGAGCAACCGGCCACAAGATTAAATGACTGCAGACCACAGCACAAGTTGAAATGTTACGAGCGCACAAGCACCATCACTTGGACACCAGCAGCGTGCCGTTCTCCTCAATGGCAGAGAGTAGCCAGGCCACTTGATCCGCGAGCACCTTCTTCCAACCCCATGACTGCCATGACATCTGCCCTCAAGTGCTGACTCTGATCGACAAGCAAAGAGACAGTGGTAAACATGGGAGAGCACTTACAAAGCGAGGGCCCCATGTGCAAAGGAAAATCCCGGCCAGGGTCCGCAACTTCACAAAACCCACATTTGTAAACTGAATGGTCCGAAGGTGAAAGGACCAACAGTATTTTCGTTCAGGTTGCGGGGCATTTGTTGACAGAACGACGCAGGCATGCCCCTCCATTTGCTTTGCAATAACCGAGCACGCTCAAGGGCGGGAAAAGTAGGGCGGGAGCAGACGAGGGGACCAGCAGACCAGGAAAGAGCAGGACCATGAATGGAGGACCGGCAGACCTGAGCACCACCAGACCGCAAAATGCAAAAAGACAACAAATAGGAGCTCCTGTAAGAACTGAGGCGGCTCTGACTATGATGGAGGTTGCATTCTACGGAAATCAGCCAAGTAAGCTTTAGCATTTAACCTGGAAAGGCTGGGGCGTTCGGCAATCCATTTGCATCAAGCAGTCTCAGCATGGCCACAACCCATCTGCAACCAACAGTGTCAACAGCTTTCTGAAGAAGAGAAGTGGTTCACCGAATGCACCACACAATCACCGGTCTTACTGTCAGCAGCTACTTCTGGCATGGTCCATCTGAGGCAAATCGTGCTGCACGCTGCTTGTACGAAAGATGTCGAATGCTCTTTGGTGGCGGGTGAATACCACCAGGACATTCGCCCGACACCTTTAACATCTTGAATGAATTGCGGCGTGAAGAAGCTGCAAAGCAGACACCGCGGCCCCAACCCGCCACAGCCGAGAAGGCTCTGCACCCCTGTAGTGCCGGTCACTCCAGCGCCTCGCATCGAAGCTTGAGCTTCTTGAGCTTCATTGGGCTCAAAAAAGCACTGGGGTCATCTTACCTGTCACGAGTTCAATCTGAGGTCCCTGCACAAGGGTTTCTGCAACTGTGTACAGCCCTTCCAGGTGCTCAACCTCCAAGTTCCCACGTGTTGGCTGCTCTCGGCTGTGTGCTCCGACGTGGTCGTGAGGGGATGGGAAACTTCGAGATTTAAGGTCTACGGGGACTTCGCTGGTTCTGCTTTCGGGAACGTGGGAGGTCAAAGGGTGCCCCAATCGACGCTAGCCTTCCGCGCTGTGTTTTTTGCATTTTGCTTGGGCATAAAGTCATAAAGCCTGGGGAAGCGCGGAGGGGAGAGCCCGGAAGGTCCCAGTCCCTCGCTCAGGAGTCTGACACTGTACTGACCCTGAAAGACATGGCGGCACTAAGTCAGACGCCCAAACTTGAGAAGGCACATCAAGCAACCAAACATCATCCAGCTCAAACTGCAGGCACACCCGGCAGAAGCCTCATGCTTCACTAACCACCCGATCTCTGCCAGGGCTTCGATGACGGACACGCGCTTGATTCGCGCCTTTTCTAGAGCCTGGCAAAGGTCAAGCTCTGACTCAAAACTGCCAGTGGAATGACATCAGATGCAACTGCTGACGGTTTCGAATCATCGTCTGAAGGTACCGCTCAAGCAAGACTCAAGCCTAGCTCACGCTTTGGATCACCCTACTTACAGCGCATCCGTCTCGGAGCTTACGGGGCTCATGGCTTGACTTCAGAGCAGTGCAAGTTTGCAATGGCATGTCCTGCAATTCGCAGCCATCGGTAAACGAAGAATTCCGCAATATCAAAACTTGACAAAACAAGAAAATCTCGACTTAGCATGATCAGCCTGATGCTGATCATCCACATGCAATGTGAACCCGGCGTGAGGCGTCGCAGCACCCAATTACACAGGCTGGGCTTGGATTTCAATTGAGTACCTCTCTGCATCATTTGCTACTTTGCAACCCCCTCGACCGGCCCGATCAGGACAAGGACAAGATACAGCCCACCCAAGACAAGCAACACCCAATGCCCATCTCACTTTGACGTGGTCACAGAATCACTCTCTGTCCAAAGCAGGCTGCTGGTGGCATCCATTGTAAGATTTTGAGCACCGCCACTCGCAGACCGAGTCAATGAATCACACCCCTGTGGAATCAGATCCCCGCTAGCTTGGCTTTCTTGCGAACGTGCAGTACCGAGGCTTGCACGCCTGGAAACTGAGTCTTCGAGAGTCCATGATTTTCACAGATTTAATACTGCAACACATGCGAGTTGCACGCTGCTGCAGCGATGGTGAATGCTGAATCCCACTCTTGCAACGGCCCACTTCTGCATGGCTAGAAACGCCATGAAATGCTGTGAAGTCATGAACGGTTTTTCCCAGCCCTGCCCAAGGCAAGTGAGCAAGGTAGGTAGTTCAGATGTAAACTCGGCGTGCAGTCACTCAAATCCGTTCATTGCTTCAAGATTCAAAACTTAAGAACATGCTTAATTTGTTCCCCAGATAGCTTTAGCTATGAGGGGTTCTAGCTAAATAGGGCCTTTCGCGTCCGCAGCCGGCGCAGCGGGCGCAGCGGCATGCAGCAATGCAGGTGGCATGCAGGAGGGGGTGCTGGTGGCATGTAGGTGGGGCAGTAGGCGTCTGCGTCCGGTCGAGGGGGCGCAGAGGCATGCAAGCATAGAGGTGCAGGCATGTAGGCATGCAGGTGGCATGCAGGAGGGGTGCAGGCGGCAGTAGCGGTGTCCGCGGCCGGTGGAGGGAGCAGCGGCATGCAGGCGTGCAGCAATGTGGGGGCAAGTGGCATGCAGGAGGGGAGGTGGCACGCAAGAGGGGGTGCAGGTGGCATGTAGGCGGGGCAGTAGGGAGTGCGGCGTCCGCGGCTAGTGGAGTTGGCGCAGGGGCAGGCAGGCATGCAGGCATGTACTGAGTCGACCGAAATTTTTACAGCACGTTGGCAGGCTTTATGGTGACTTATAGGCTGTTATTGGAAGTTATTAGAAATTAAGTAAAGTTAACTTATGGGTCGTTACACGTATTTACAAACTTCTGATATCTTTCCAGCTAACTTACTATAGGTTCCACTAACTTCCCTTATCTTTTTCGCTTGTTTTCACGTCGAGACTGTGACATTTCTTGTGGCAGAAGTGGCTGCCGCCGCTACATTTTTTCCCCAGATAGCTTTAGGCCTTAGCTATTAGGGTTCTAGCGAGACCCTTTTGGGACAAACTTGAAACCCTGATCCGGGCCAAGAGACCCTTGGGCCAAACTTGAAACCCTGATCCGGGCCAAGAGACATTCCAAGAGACCTTCTTGGGCCAAACTTGAAACCCTGATCCGGGCCAAGAGACCCTTGGGCCAAACTTGAAACCCTGATCCGGGCCAAGAGGCCCTCTTGGGCCAAATTTGAAACCCTGTTCGGGCCAAGAGAGCCTCAAAGAGACCCTCTGGGGCCAAACTTGAAACCCTGATCCGGGCCAAGAAACATTCCAAGAGACCTTCGTGGGCCAAACTTGAAACCCTGATCCGGGCCATGGCCCAAACTTGAAACCCTGATCCGGGCCAAGAGGCCCCCTTGGGCCAAATTTGAAACCCTGATCCCCGGCCAAGAGACCGCCCGAAAGACCCGCCTTAGGCCAAACTTGAACCCCTGATCCTTGCCAAAAGACCCTGCAAGAGATCCTCTTGGGCCAAACTTGAAACCCTGATCCGGGCCAAGAGACCTCCTTCACCCAAACTTGAAACCTTAATCCGGGCCAAGAGACCCTCCAAGAGACCCTCTTGGGCCAAACTTGAAACCCTGATCCGGGTCAGGAGGCTTATTTTGGGCCAAACTGGGCCAAGGACCCGCCAAGAGACCCTTTCGGCCCCAACTTGAAACCTTGATCCGGGCCAAGAGACCCTTCAAAAGACCCTCTTGGGCCAAACTTGAAACTTGATCCGGGCCAAGAGACCCTTCAAAAGACCCTCTTGGGCCAAACTTGAAACTTGATCCGGGCCAAGAGACCCCCTTGGGCCAAACTTGAAACCCTGATCCGGGCCAAGACACCTCTTTGGGCCAAAATTGAAACCCTGATCCGGGCCAAGAAACCCTCCAAGAGACCCTCTTGGGCCAAACTTGAAATCCTGAGCCGGGACAAGAGACCCTCCAAGAGACTTTCTTGGGCCGAGCTTGAAACCCTCATCCGGGCCAAGACACCCTCCAAGAGACCTTTTTTAAGAGATCTTTTTTGGGCCAAACTGAAACCCTGACCCGGTCCAAAAGACCCGCCAAGAGACCCTCTTGGGCTTAAGTTGAAACCCTGATCCGGGCCAAGAAACCCCCTTGGGCCAAACTTGAACCTTGATCTGGGCCAAGAGACCCAAACTTGAAACCCTGATTCGGGCCAAAAGACCTTCAAGAGACCCTCTTGGGCCAAACTTGAAACCCTGATCCGGGCCAAGAGACCATCTTGGGCCAAACTTGAAACCCTGATCCGGGCCAAGCGACCCGCTTGGGCCAAACCTGAAACCCTGATCTGGGCCAAGAGACTATCCAAACGACCCTCTTGGGCCAAACTTGAAACCTTGATCCGGGCCAAGTGACCCTCCAAGAGACCTTCTTGGGGCAAACTTGAAACCCTGATCCGGACCAAGAGACCCTCCAAGAGACCCTCTTGGGCCAAACTTGAAACCCTGATCTGGGCCAAAAGACCATCTTGGGCCAAACTTGAAACCTGATCCGTGCCAAGAGACCCTCTTGGGCCAAACTTGAAACCTTGATCCGGGCCAAGAGACCCTCCAAGAGACCTTTTTGGGCCATTGTAGAAGTCTTTTGATTCAACAACGCCAAAACATGTGAAGCGCAGTGCCACAACAGAGAGGGGAAATTTCTATTTATTCTCAGAGAGCCTTTCCAGCTTTCTGGGGTCTTCGCCGGTGTGATTTTGTTTTTATCCAAAACAGTCGGATGAAAGCTGCCGCTGCCTCGTGCTGTCGAAGTAGTTGGGCAAGGTTCACTTTCTCAAACTTGTCGAGGAAGTTCTCGACTCCCCCAACCTTCGCATAGAATGGCCAGATCGCGTGCTAGAGGTCCGCAGAGCAACCAACAGTCCCTCTATTCCCTAACTCCTTTCGCTACCCCTCGTGTATTTCACCTTTGTGGCTTCGCAGTTCCCGCGGGTCCTCCTTCAAGCGCTTCACGAGGCGCTGGCGCTGCCTTGCAAATCTTGCAGATATCGCACTGCCCAGCTCTGCACCGTGCTGGGCCTCAGCGTCAGATCGTCGCCTCTTCGCTTCCTCGGTTTCAGAGGCGTAAGGTCTACAGGCCAAGCACTTCACAACGCACCATGTCTGAAGCCTTTCTTCCAGGTGAGAATGCAACAAGTCCTGCCAGTCAGTAAAGACTCGACTGCACATGCCACCACATTCACAACAGCATCAGCACCTCCAGCTTCTCAGCATCATGAACCGCCAGCCACCAGTCCTTCCAGTAAGACTGAGAGGACTTGAACTGCGCCAGGGGTCTTGAATGGTCTTGACAAAGCCGGAAAAACAAAAAATCTGAATCTATCCCCACTTTGATGCAGTCCTTCGAAGTGAGCTCGTTGAGCTTCCGCCGTATGACAGCGAGGCCTTGCTTCACATCTTGGCGCACAAGAAAGACTCAAGCAGCCATGCCGAAGCCTTTGCATAACTAATAACTGCAGCAAAGTAGCAGTGCAAGTCGCCCTTTAGCTTTGCAAGCTCCACCCCCTTCAGTGCGTGCCAGAAGGCATGGAAGCCACCTGCCTGTCGATTGTGTCGATTGAAGCCCATGGCTCAACAGTATGGTGGTTTTTCAGCCAGTGGCCTGCACCACTCGCTCCACGAACTCCTGCAGCATGCTATTGCGCACGCGGCCTGGGGAAGCATGACGAAAAAAACGCGAGAGACTCGGCGATAGACTGTGATGGACTGTGCACTCTGCATGTAATCAGATTATCGGACTTAGCCTGCATCCTCGCCATGTCCAAAGCAGAAATCAGGCCTCGCGAAGCGAAGGGCACCACAAACTCCACAAACTACCGGGCTTCAGACGACTGTCACCTCCAACACTTTCAACTCAGCTGCCGGCACGTCTTGGCCAGTGTCGTCAACAGGGCGTGCAAGCCTCTGGTTGTTCTTTGGAATCTGTGGGCAGAGCATTCTCTAGCCAAGGACTCGGGGAACTTTAAATGCCTTTCTCAGTGCTGAGACTCGCTCCCAGCTTTGCGCAGTAGGCCGATCATGCAAAGAAAATCTTGAACCTCGGAAATCTACACCGCACGACCGGCCACACTCGAAGCAAGCATAAGAGCATCTTGTGGTTCGGTAGTGCAGCTACGTCGAGGCTTCAGCCGCAACTCCATCCAGACTGTCCAGAAACCTGGGACAAAGTCATGACTTTGAAGGGAGCTCTTCGACGCAGCTTGCCAGGGCCAGGCAATTGAGGTCCACCATTCGAAGCAAGCAGGACAACAACCTGCATGCACCAATTCACCTCTCCCCACAAGAGAGACGGGTTGTTCTGTCTTTTAGTCACTTTCCTAAGCTTCGAATAATTGTCAAGGATTTTGCAAGGAAAAACAGCGATTCAAACGAAAGGAAAAACACAGAAGGGACGAAGATATGCATGGATTTCTAGGGATTCAATAGTGGAAATGAACGCATTCATTCTATTCATGCGCTTTAATAATATGAAATCGCCTGTCAAGGAAGTGCTAGTAGCATTCGTGTTTTGCCCTAAACCCTGCAAGCACAAACGATTGAAAAGTACAGGCCCCAAGCTACTTAAAGCAACCCGAAAGATTAAAAGCGCCCACACACAAGCCAAAAGCTATCCAACAGAAATCAGGCACACAATTCAGACTACAGATGCGGGAACTACTAGGATACTGGGGCTGGAGAAAAGCCCAGCACACAACCGCAGCGGCCTTCCTCCAGGAATCGATTTGGGATGCTGATGGGCCACCTGCAGTGTTCCGGAGGCTGAAACCCTGACGACTGATGCACTGAAACTTGGAGGATGGCTATCATCCAGCTTGAAAGTCCTTGGACAGGGAGGAGCAACTGCTAAACTCTGAACAAACATCATCTGCAGCGCAACTTGCCAGCATGCACAGGCGAAGAAGGACGATGCTTCTGCGTAAGCCCTGCTTCGTGAAGGACATCAAGACCTGCAGCTCCACGTGCAAACCTAAACGCATGCTCGAAAAACTATCGGTCGACTGGTGGATGCTTGCAAAGCTTTCATAAAACAACCTGCATTTGTAAATGCAAACATTGCGTAGTCATAGTGCTGCAGCAACCTCTGTCATGATTATCTTCTTCGAATTTGAATCTTCATCATTCGTGTCCTCCTCCTCGTCCTCCTCGTCCTCCTCGTTCTCCTCGTTCTCCTCGTTCTCCTGGTTCTCCTCGTCCTCCTCGTTCTCCTCGTTCTCCTCCTCCTCCTCCTCCTCCTCCTCCTCCTCCTCTCATCCTTCTAGTCCTCGGCATCGTCGTTGCGGGTCGTCGCAGTGGTCGTCGTCGCCGAGGTGGCCGCCATCATCATCATTGTCAAATTTTTTCATCAGCAGCAGCACCACCACCACCTGTACCAGCAGCACTTGTCCTCCTAGTCATCTTCATACCACCAGCACAAGCACCATCGTGATCATGAGTTCGCCCAACCGAACAACTATCATTCACGACCCTCTGCCGAAGCAAAACGGTCAAAAGGCAGGCATGCAATTGTAAGCACGGGATGTCCGAGCCGGCCACACTCCTCAAAGTGCTTGATGTTCGTAGCCTTCATTCGACAAAACCGGGAAGAGGCTGCCTGAATTTCGCTAGTAATCGCAGCAACTAGAGCGGAAGAGAGGTTTAGTTGAAACAGAAACATGGGCATGGCACCGAACAGTATCCTAACGGTTGGGCATGCTCTTTCCTTTTGCTAATCAACTCACTAAGAATGGGATTCACAAGCACCATAGAGCCCCGGAGAGAAGTGACAAGAACCACATGTTGTCACATGTTTCGTCACAGATTGGCTTCATCTGGCTCTACTTCACGACCCTGGCGGACTCAGCAAGCGAACCTCCACTCGCTGGCAAACGTTGTCAGGCCCACCGAAGCTGTTGACCTCTGCTTCTCGCATGTTGCTAGGGCGCATCTCAACACAAGTCAGATGCCCTGGCCAGTGTGATCAAGGTCGTCCATGGCCTCAGCAGGACTGCTTTCGGCCCGCTTACAATTGCGAGCCTGAAGAATCAATCGCGTGACTAACTTAGGGAAGATGCTCGAACTCTGTGTCCAAGCTTTCTCGCTGCGCTGGGCCTGCAATGGCTCGGGCGAGCAGGGCGAGCAAAGCGAGCAGAGCGCACGCCATTGCCCTCTCAACTCGAGGCGTTGCCGACTGCCTGCAGCACTCTCCAGGTCCGGATCGTCAGGGCCCTCACCGACCGGAGCCACGGCCCGGGCCCTGAGAAGCCTGTCTCGGGAAAACATCGAAGAAATGACATAAACACAAAGCGCAAAGATCGCGCCATGTAGGCGGCAAACCAAGCCTGGCAGCGCCAAGTAACTCCATTCCTCGCTCCAGTCGTTCCAAGCTGTCTGCCTGTGACCGTAGTCAGGCCAAATTGGACGCTGCATATCCCCCAGTTACTGAAGATGCCTTGTTGAGAAGACTGACCAAGCGAGTGATCCCTTCCAGTCCAGTTCTTCTGGCAATTTGGAGGAGGTCCTGAAATCAAGTTTACATGTGAATACGCAATCACCAGCGATTGAAAAGTTTTTCGAGTAAGGCTCAACAACGCCCGTGCACGGTTAGCACCACCCTTACATACTTTTGTGCTTGCGTGCCTGGAGCATGCTGTGAATTGGAGCAGCCTGCTCTGACCTGGCAACAAAGGAACTGTTCGAAACGTCAGAAAGTGAACATGATCTCACAAATCGGCGGGTGCGCGACGATGGTCCAGGCAAGGTGCAAACAAGTGCTTCGGATGTTCCACCGGCGCTGGAAACTGCAGAGCATGTACCGCAGGAAGGCCCTACACTGCCACATGCTGATAAAGCTGCGAGACGAGTAGGACTACGGGCCTGATAAAGTTAATGCAACTTTTCTTACCGATGGAATTAAGTAACTGGGCCAAGAGCCTTCTCGCCGAGTCGCGCTATCCAACCATTCTGCTTGGAGGTTTGATGGGGTTTGAACTGTTCTGCCGCGAGACTGTGGGTGGTTTGTCCAGTCACGAGCAAGCCCTCACAAGGTGTCCAGCTTTGGTGTCGCAAAGGTGTTCCCGATCAATCCAGATCAGTATTTCGAGCGCTCCTACACTTCTGTAAAATCGAAATGTGCAAAGTCGAAAAGCCGTTGCCTATCTCGAAGGCCACGGTTGATGAGACTGCGCCGGTCACGGAATCCTCAAAGATCTCGCCTGTGGCCGAACAGCTGCGAAGCTCGAAGCTTGAAGGAGAACTGAGATGCCCAATGTCCACATGAGGCCACTGCGATCATCTGCAGGATTTGATAAGCGAATCAAGTTCAAGCAAGAGACCTGTCATCTCACCCGACTCAGAACTGGGCAAGTTGAAGGGTACCCCCGAACCCCTATCGGATAGGATAAGCATCATGCCCCTAAGGGCCTGACAACATTAATCAGGTCGGTCTTCCCCACTATGTCGACAAAGTCCTCGACAAGGAGGGAGTGACTGAGTTCAACTGTCCCAGCAGCGCAAATGTTGGGTGCGCCATGGCGCACTGCTCCTCTAAGGAGCCGAGACGTCGAGTCAGCTGCGCAAGCCAGCCACCAACCTTCGAGGAGAGATCAGGGAGAGTCGCTTTTAAATTTCAAACACGAACCACAATTTTTTTGTGATCATGTTCGAAGTCACGCACAAGTATCTGCCTTCGTCAAGCTGGGCTGCCGTAACCGACCGAGACCACAGTTGTTCACCTCAGCGCAAGAGATATCTGGAGGCATTTGGCGAGATTTGAGACTCCATGCGCACCTGCTCCATCACCTTGAGAAAAGACCTGTCATTTGAGTTCATGCCTGGACTTCAGATGACAAGCAGCAGATTCCACCTGGCTGGAACTGGATAAACAGCCGCACTGACAAGGAATGCACCACCTGGCCGCATCGACACATGGATTTGAAGAGTTCAGAACCAGCATCTTGCGTAAACCGAACCGACCGGCTCGCGACAACCATCTCAGAGCAGACTCTCCGGCAGCAGCGACCTTGGAAGAAAGAGTTTGATTAGAGCTTCGATGTTGCTTCCCCATGGGGTGCCTCCTCCTCTGTTTGGTGCTGACCCTTGCTGCGGAGGACCCCGGCTGAAACCAGCAGAGGCCTGCCCGTCTCACGGCGAATGACTCATGAGAGCAAGAGCTGTGCACAGTCGATGTGGGTGAGAACGAGAATCTTTTTTGAGGTTGCCCCAGGTGCCAGTACTCTGAGAACATGGCACCAGCTCAGCAACTGAAGAAAGCTTGACTGTGTCGAACACCTGGACAGCAACATTGCAAGACGAGGCCTGACGAAGTTTGGCGGGTGACGCGCGGCCTGCAAAAATGCTTCTGAATCCATCTCGCCCAATACCTGTGGCGAGAAGAGCTGCGAAACTGCGAAATCGGAAGCTTGCAGGCGTGTCAGCCTCTGTCAGCTGTCCTTGCAGGGCAGACTTGTTTCTCCGTAGCACCATATCCATTGGAGGTCTCACTCACCTTTTCGATTTTCCGGCTCACCGGAAAAATCCACCCTTTTCAAAGGATTGTAGAGAGACATCGAAGATCAGCGGGCCACAGGGACCACCGTCGTCACGTTCGCTCCCATATCCGAGAGCAGGCGGAACCCAAAGTCGACGCGTCTCGCCTTCTCGCATAAGCAGGATACCTCACAGCAAAGTTTGAAAAACACCCGCAATCACCCGCAATCTGAGCTACAAGGATTCATTTTCTGCAAGGTCGAGTCATGTGCGCACCTTCCCAGACACCCTTTGGCACATTCTTCTGTTGCAGTTCGACCGCTGGTCCACGCATCGATGAAGCCTCAAAGAGCTGGCCATCGGCGGTCCAGCCATAGTACACCACCTTAATGGAGAACCAGAACTCGAAGCACAGCCAAGCTGAGGCATGGTCTCTGACCGCGGCTGAAAGAGCATGCAAATAGCATGCAAGAAACGGTCACTTTTGTAGCTTCCGTCGCAACTTCCGTTCCATTGCCAGGTTTGAGAATCTTGGTTGCCAGGCCAGACCTCAGCTTGGCAAAGCCATTGGAAAAGCCACAGACAACGTGTGGCTGTAAAATTCAACGACACTTCGTGAACGTTTTGTGATCTCCGGCTTGGACTCCAAACCACCACAGCCTCCGTACTTAAGCGAGGAAAACGCATGTCGAAGTTGCGCGCTGTAGGGCTGCTTTTCTTCGAAGGCTCAACTAAGGCTCAATTCAACATGCTGGACGGTTGAGTCTTTTGACCTGCGTTCCGTGACCCAACTCTGCTGCAGGTGCTGCTGCGGACAAATTCCTCCTCCTCCTCTCCTAATCTTTCTTTTTCCTTCTCTTCCTCCCTTGTTGAAGTCTTCCGCCGCATCACATCGCCGTGCTGTCTATAGCATTGCGTGCAGGCACACCAGCATCTAACAGGAACAGTTTGAAAGAAGGACAGAAAGGCACATCTGCCAAATGCACTGGGAGGGTCTTTGTGAACTCCGCATCCGAAGGCGGAGCATCAAGCCCTTCGGGGACTGGTGGCGGAGGCTGCCCACGCTTCAGCCCATACAGAGTAACATCAACTACAATGTCTCCTTAGTTGGATGTGAAACTGATTGAAACTGCGTATAAGTTAGATCACCCGGGGAAGTGTCATGAAGGAGTACGTCCGTTGACACGCTCAAGCGGCCAGCTGGACCACCTTTGCCTGCACTTCCAAACGCAAGGTTGCTGGGGATCCACAGCCTGGCAGTCTCTCCTACCTCAGCTCTTACCACAAGCAATATCGTCTAATGTCGTTCACGAAAGCACTCTCCGGTCCTGTGGAATCTTCCCATATTATTTGCAGTCCAGCGGCGTTCATGTTCAGCAAACCTTCGGTCCAGCCGCGAATGACTTGGCTGACTTGGAAGGTCATGCGTCCGCGCTTCCGGCTCGAGTCGAAGGTCCGTCCGTCGAGCTCATATCCTTGGGAATTTCACGAGAATGGGAAAGAGGACTGAAAAAAATATCAGCGCGGATCCTTGCACCAAGCCCTTGCTGTTGGCCCGGCCTGTGAAGTCAACAGAGACCTTGTCAAAGATGTACGGCTTCGAGCATTTCGTCGACTCGCAGTCAGCAGGCTTGAGAATCTTGAATTTGAGGCCACTCTTTGTGACCTGCACATTGAAACAGCTTGAGAACAGTGATGTCCACAGAAATACAAAGTGCTCATAAGCACCCCGGTGGCTCACAGGTTTCCCAGAACCTGCGCGTCAGGCGGGGGATTCTTCAGGTCTTTCGGCGCCTGCAATAGCTGACACGGATTGGCACAGTCTCGCAACGATAGCGAGCGAATTGCATAATGTTGCATCCTGACAGACTTCAAGAGAGAGGAGGAGGCCTTCTTTTTTTGCTGCTCTCCAAATGGGTCAAAGCCCTCTGCACAAGCAGTACCTGGTCTTAACACCTCAGGCAGCTCAAGCATGAAGAAGACACAAAGACTTCTTGGCAGACTCATGACGATGACTACACGTACACCATGATTACACCCGACTTTGCCATGACTGGATAGGACTGCCTGTGCGACTGAAGTCGTCAGCAGCACGAGGTCTCTGCGATGAGCATCTCTGGAAGTTACTGCTCCACGAAACAAGAATCCAATGTCGGAGCCTTTGCAAGGCTCTGCGCGGGGGCTATTCCACAACTCATACGTCTCTTGACTATGCTTTCAAGCAAACCTTGCGCAGACAACTCGTTAGTTCGGTACCCAAATCCCACCAGACTCACACAGCAGCACCCCAGAAGTACCATCAGGTCCACGAGGGAAGAGGGAACCCATTAGATGGCTACCACCCTCCCGGCCCGCTGCCTGAATTACAAATGCAAGCACCACCATCGACCACAGCAAAGGTGAAAGGCTCCCCGACAGCCCAGATGAGAGTAGGACAGAGGAGAGAAAGAGACTTGCAGCCGTATACGAATGCTCTGCAGCGCACTGCTGAGCTGCTGATCGTCCGCGTTTCAAAATGCAGAACAAGGTAGAACAATAGCGCTAGCATCAAGAAGTACAACCATTGAACATACTCTCGGTAAAAGCCAAGTTTCCTCTCCAAGACCTTGGAAATGACAAAGGCTGAGCTCAAAAGATGGGTTGGAAGATCTCACTGAAGGCGAAAGCATGTCAAAGCGGTGAAACGATTGATGCTGACCCCAAAGGGGCCAACCGGCAAAGAGAGAGAGAGAGAGAGAGAAAAAAAAAAAAAAAAGAGAGCGAGAGAGAGGAAGCAATAGAGTTGTGTCTTCTGCTATGGGCAAGTGTGTCTTGGCGGACATTGGGGGAAGTGTCCGTTCACACATCAGGGGATAGGAGTCAGCCTCCCTGAAAAATGACATGATGTACTGCATGATGTACTGCATCCAGGCCGACCTCTGATCCGAGTAAAGCTTTACATAATGGGGCAGGCCTTGCCGCAGCTGCGCTCACGTGAAAGCAAGCATGGCACGTCCCCTCTGCTGCTCTCATCTGACTGATCAGGACTGTCAGAGAGCGAGCAGAACGTGGCATCCGTCGATTGGGGCGAAGCGAGATTTGGCGAGAGCTGGCAAGACACTATCGAGGCGCTCGCTTTGGCTAGGAGCGCAAGGACCGAACTCAACACGAGGGTCCAGCGAGAAAGTTCAATTGAACCGAATGAAACATAATGAAACGCTAGCCACCTGATTGCTGACCGGCCCACGCAACGAGCAGCAGCAGCCAGAAGACTCTTCTGCCACGTTGCGCTGCCATTTGCTGGAAGGGATCAAGCTGATCAAGGGCAAGACTGAGGCGTCTAAGGCCAGCTCACAGAATACAATACCCGTTCGGTGCACTTGCATCTGCAGTTCCTTTGACTTCTACTGGGCGTTTAATACACATATGTACAACTCGTGAAATGGCATCTATGCTTTCGTTTGGTTTTGCTTGCGACATCTGACAGAGATCTCCATACAAACTCTTCATGGGCCGACATAAGCCAAGCGGCTCCAAGCCGGGCGAGGAAGCGCCAACAAGCGCAGCATCACTTGAGGTCAGGCAAGAAAAAACAGAAACGCAAGAGAACTTGCCTGCCTTTGCAAGGACTGCTGGATGGCTAGCATGGTCTTGACTGTCCAGCAACCCCTGCCTCACAACAACGTCCCAAGTCGAGAGCTGTCGAAGGCACGATCCGACCGACCTCGAGAAGGCGTCCCCGTAGCGGATGATGTCAAGAAGCCTGCTCGCGTCCTGGTAAAGAATAGAAACACACAAGTCTTACAAAAAGTCATGAATGCACTCTCTTAAGAGCTTGTAGGGCTGAATTAATTATGAGACGGACGGAAAAAATGCGCGGTGTCCGCGATACTCTATGAGTTTTGCTTTGGAAGACGAGGCCTGAAGCTTCTCCAGCGTTCGGACGAGCCGGGTGAGCCCACCAACCTGTGCTCTCTGCGGAAAAGAACATCCGAGATACGAAGAAGCACGAGAAACTCAACAAAGAGAAATGTCACTTGCTCTCGTCTCAGAGTTTACAGAAATCACACCCAACCACAGCTTCGAGTGCTGGTCCGGCCTGTCCGACGATTTCAGTCAACTTCGTCAGATCCTTCGCCAAGAATCCATTTTTTCTGAGCGTGTGTGTGTGTGTGTGTGTGCGCGTGTGCGCGTGTGCGTGTGTGCGTGTGTGCGTGTGCGCACATACGCATACCTACATACATACGTACATACATACATACATACATCCATGCATGCATGCATGCATACACACATACATACATACATACATACATACATACATACATACATACATACATACATACATACATACATACATACATACATACATACATACTTCTCCTTCGTCTTCTTCTTCTTCTTCGTCTTCTTCTTCTTCTTCTTCTTCTTCTTCGTCTTCTTCTTCTTCTTCCTTCTTCTCCTTCTTCTTCTTCTTCTTCTTCTTCTTCTTCTTCTTCTTCGGGGCTTGGGGGGCCCGGCGGGCCCCTCGCGCAGCCGCGCGCCCAGGTTCGGTTCCGTGGTGAGACTTCCCCCTCCAATCCCGACCCCCTTTTTTCTTTGCTTGTCCCCCTGATTATCCAGTGACGAAGGTTAAGATAACCTACGCTCCCAACTACAGATCTTCGGACAGGCTAGTATCGTTGAAGAGGTCCTTTGACCTGGGTGTTTCGGCCACAACACACTAAATGAAGGTAAGACACATGGCAGACTTCACCGCAGGTTCCTACTCTCCTCATAGGTTTTCCCCTCACTCAGTTGTGCTTGTTGATCCAAGTCACTTGTGCTCACCCCATCTGCACCCACAGCTTCCAGCGCCCCCACCAGTTTCTTCAGGCTCGTGACTTTCTGGGGTTGTTCTTCTTCCGCTCGTTCGTCCAGCTCTTCTGCGCACTTTTCTTTCAACGTGAGCTCTTCCACGGCGTCGAAGCTTTCGCCAGCTTCCTGTGGTGGCGTTTCCGCCCTCCACGCTGTCCTCCACCTTTACGACCTCGTTCCCCCACCATTGCGCCAGCCATCTATCGATTGCTTTGACTGCTTCCCCCACCTCGCCAGCCACTTGTTGCTCCAGGAACGGCATGAGTCGTCTGAGTTTGTCTCGGGCCAGGAGCAAGTCTTGTGCCTGGGTCGCCTGCGCTGCATGCCTTGCCCGTGTAGCCGCCTCCCTTGCCCCCTGGCCCAACGCTGTCACGTCCGCTGGGTGCACTTCAGCCATAGCTGACGCCCCGCTGTGTTGTTCCGCTGCCGCTGCGTTTTGGCTTTGCTCCCCTTGCCCCTGCTGCGTGATGGCTATGTAGACTTGATGGCATGTGTCCCCCCTGTGTGCCGCAACATCGCTTCGTATTGGCGCCTATCCAGTCCTTGGTGCAGCATGTCGAGCAGTTCGCCCAGCATGGTGATCGCTTCCTCGCATGCTCTGTTGCCTTGCTCCCTGGTGTGTGGTGCCACCGTTGTTGCTTGATGCAGTCTGCGACGCGCTGACTGGAACAGTGCCAAGAGAACCCCTACATGCTCTGCTGCTTGTTGCGCTGTCGGTCTCCTCTGGCCATGCAATGGGTTGGCTAGCATCCCCCCGACGATTTGGACTTCCTCCCGCTCAGGAATGCAGACGAGGGCCCTTTAGTGTGGTTGCGCAAGATCCGCTGTCGGTGTTGTCGATGCTGCAGCTTGTGATGAGTCCCCCGGGTCTGCCGAGGAGCTTCCGGCTGCTGTGTGCTCTGCTGGTGGTTCGGGTGATGGGCCTCCCTCCTCTCGTGCTTTGTTGCTCGTAGCACCGCTCGACGACCCTGTGTAACCACTCCTCCTCCCTCTTCTTGTCCTCGGCGTCTGCTTTTTCCTTCCATCTGCTTCTGGCTTCTTCCCAATCTTCCTCCTCGCTGTGCGGTGTTGGCATAGGGGATGGCGAGGGCCGTGAGTTGGTCCATCTGGCCTCCATGCTCTTGCACGGTTAGCATGTGCACCGCTGCGTACACGTGCGCTGCAGCCTGGTCTTGGTTCGCTCTGGAACTATTATCTATCTCTCTCTCTCTCTCTCGTTATCTGTGTTTGGGGTCTAGGCTGGCATACAGACGAATCTTAAAACTGTACAGTGCTACTGAAGAGGAGCATGTCATTCGTCTGACACTTTGAACAAGTCTGTTGGTACAAGTCCATATGTATAATATGTATATGCGTATATATATATATATGTATGTATATGTATATGTCTATGTTTGTGTTTACTTATGTGTGTATATATATATATATATATACACTTGTTCATCAAATATTGCTACGTATACATGCATGCATGTATGCATGTATGTGAGTCTTTTAACTAGCAGCGTCCAGAGTCCACGAGAGTCGCCCAGTTTAGGCTTGAAAGCCCGGCAACTTAAAGTTACAGACCAGTGCTCCGCACCGAGGTGCAAAGCAAGCACTGCGCATGTTTCCGGCACGAGTGCCCACAGCAACACCTACCAGCGGCAGGCAAAACGAGTAGCAATGCCCAAAATGGAAAGAAAAGCACCCCTTCGAAAGTTGATATGTACTCACAGAGAAAACTTTGCACAAGCTAAAGCTAAAGACAGACGGCTTGTATGTGTGTCTATATGTTACATACATATGTATACATACCCATGGCATCAGGCATCAGACACGTCTCTGTGAGATTGCGCAAAATTCGGGCCTGGAACTGCCCACCTCCACGCCGCAAGGCCTCCAAATAATCACAGACCTGCAGCTGCTTTTTTAGGATTTCAAGTGACGGCTTCACTTCAGTTCTTCATTCCAAGAGCCCGACTTGAGACAGCTGGACAGACCCAAGGGCTCTCAAAACGTGTGGCACCTTAGAGGCACTTAAAACTTAAAATGTTTGGGCTCATCGGCCATTCTGCTATCTCTCCACTCGTCTCAGATTGCAATGGTGCTTTGAGTGTTTGAACTGCTTTCATACCTTTTTTGCCCATCGCAGGCGACTCTCCCGACTTTGAAAGCTGCTCGAGCGCCGAGCATCCTTAAAATCGACACAAGCGGGTGTCTGTTCTTCGCCACGTGTCGATCTGGGTCAGACTTGCGCTGCGTATGGCCCGTATGGCAGTAGAAACCCTGGAAGAGCCTGCACCAGCACTCAGATGCGCTCAGGATGCCTCGAAATGTGCCCAGGGCAAGGATGTGGACTGAGCCGTATTGCGCCATATCAGATCGTGAGCTGGTTCGAGATCTCGGTTCAGATAGGGACTACTTCTGCCCGCTCAGGTTCGCATTTGCATCCGTCCTCCGGATCGCGCAGATCGGCACAGGCTCAAGGAGTCAAGGAGTCAAAACGAGTCAGTACGAGTCAGAAGGAGTCAAGGATCTGCCTTGGGGACTTTGGGGCCGTCCTTGTTGTGACCTTAGAGACATGAGACATTGGAGATATGGGAGACATTGGAGACATGTGTACTTGGAGAAAAGTCTCCCGAACCGTCTCGGTTGAACACTCCGAAGTGCTCACGAGTGCTCACCAAGCAGCGGCACTGCCTGTTGCTGCATCCAGTGCCGGAGCTTGTCTTCCAGCGCCATGATCTTGGGACACAGCTACACCGAGCTGACACCAAGCTGACACCGAGCTGCAATTGCAAGTTGGACCTTCTTCTCGAGCCGCATCATGGAGCGCTCGTTTGCGACGTCATTCTGTTTCTTTAGGCCTCATGCCGCACAAAGCGAGATTGCCAAGATGACTACCCACGTCACCCGCCTGTAAGGAAATCTTCTTCTAATATATAGGCTTCGCCGCCATCTGCTGGAGAATGGCTTAACCTTTCCACGTGAAGAGAAAAGCCCTGTTCACAATCAATGCATGCAAACAGCTGTCATCATTGCATCCAAGGAACAGTTTCGTCAAATCATTCAGGTCGTTACTTGAGATTCCAGCAGCATCGCACAGTTCGGCCTCCTGGTCTTCATCGCTTAAGATCCTGTCGAATTCCGATGCATAGATCAAGCCTTGCTCCCTCTTGTCCATGTCATTGAAGAGCTCAGTTCTCAGATGAGAGAAGCGCTCGGGTTTTCAAAAAAACATGCCGTCGAAGTCACTAGTACATATGCATACAGAGGGGAGAAACACCCTGCTTTTAGAGTCAACGCCCCGTGCCAAGACTTACACAGGAAGTGGGGCCTCAGCCTGTATTTGTGTTGGGCTTGTGGCTTCATGGTGGCGATGTGACGTCTTTGAGTCTCCGGTTGCAGCAAGGTTACAGCCGGCAGCAGCTGAGCTAAGTATAGCTAGGCAGCACTGCTACAGCACTACGTCGTAATGGCTACATGACGAAGCAGTTGTCAAGCAGTGCCTAGATCGGAGGTCATCGACTGTATCACAAGCTTTGCTGTACTCTGCAGCTCACAGGCACAGCATGGCGCAAGTACTCTACTGCGGACTAGCGGCAGCTTCACAACCGATCGATCTGTCTTGTCTTTATTCTCCACATCGTCATTTTCTCTTCGCCTGTCCTCTACGGTGGTAATCATGTTCTCACTCACCACTGCTGTGAAGATGGCAAGAATGGCCCAGTTTGAGAGGATCATGAACAGAGCACACGCTAGCTGCGTGGATGGAATCGCATCCAGAATCTCTTGTACCGAATCAAAGTCGCCATTCATGACCAAGAAAAGGACGAACATGGACTCAAAGACGCCAGAGAAGATCCCTTTCAAGTTTGCTGGTGGCCGGCCATCTGAGAACAGTAGCCTCACACAAAAATCACAAAATGTCTGTGACACCGCTCTCAGCGAAACATGCATGCCGCATGCCTAAGTCCCAAGTGCAGCAAGGGGAACCCCTTCTCGATGAGCAAGACGGCGAGTATTGCACAAATGTAGAGGAGGAGGACTGTGAGCACCAAAACCCAAAACATGCCTTGCATTGCATATGCAACGCCTCGGCTGCACCGAAAGGAACTACCAAATAGCATTGCTGATCATAGCTGGCAGCGCAACGGGCGAGTCAGGTGATCTTTCGCCAGGATTCCGAGCACCAAATTATAAAGTGGCGGCAGGCTGTGAATCAAGCGTGCCAGCCGCAGGATGCGGAAGAGTCTGGCCATTCGCAGCAGCAGGAAGATAGATCCCTAAGTGGCGCGTGTTGGCGGCAAAGCTGGAGAAGCTGAACGAGGAGGAGCAGAGGTTGCACTCTTATGCACTCTTGCAGAGTCGACGACCCAGAACAGCAGAGTCCACGTTGGACTAGGTGCCCGGCCATGTCCTCACTCGAATCAGTACCCCATTCTGGCTTGCCACCTGTCAACACGTCGCTTATCTTTCACGACACTAGGCCCACGGGAGTGTACAAGCCTACATGTACATATATGTACATCCAATGTACATCAGCAAGGATGCCTATCAGAGCAGAAGCGAAGCTGAAGATGGGGAGCATCCACTGGTCGACCACCGCAGCCTCAGCAAATCAGTGCGTTTGTCTAAAGAAGCTGCGGTCATTGCATCAGATGTGGAAAGATCAACCAAGAGGCAACTACAATGATGGTGTCCAGCAGGTTCCAGGGGACTTCACTGGGATCCGTGAAGAACCTCCACTTGTGCAGCTTGACACGGACGAGCAGCTCGAAAAGGAAGACCACCAGCAGCACTTCTTCAAGTGCGTTCCATAGGAAGAAGTCAGGCCAATCGGTTTGGACTCCCAGCAGTAAGCTGTTTACCAAGATGGCACTTAAGATGAAGCCTGCAGGGCAACGATAGCAGCAGCATCCCATTACACCAAACCCAAACAAACAAAACAAACTGTGCTTGAGTATTGCTGAGCTAGGACTTTCGACAATTCGGCCTTGAAAACAGTCTTCCTCTACCCATTCAAGCTCAGACTTCAGGAATGCCCGCACCACTTTTGCGAGTCGGATCAAGCGCAGAAGGCGCAAGATTCGAACTGCGCTGACAAGAAGTGAGCTGGTCTGGTTCATGGCAGTCAGGATCCATTGATCATAAATTCCAGCCTCAGACATGCTGGCACGTGGCTAGACACCGCCATGACCTGCACTCTTGTCGAAATTTGCTGCCCGTTGACAAGGACGATGAAGACATCAAGCCAATTCCACCACACCTGACGCCGTTGTTCGTGTGCTCGGGTCTTAGGGAAGACTTGGCAATATGACTTTTTTGCATTGTCTGCATTCTCGGCCCGAACCTTAAGTTCCCATGGTTTGAGCCTGTTACATGGCACATGAAAAACTTCTTGCAGGGAGGCCAGGAGCGTCCACTCCATTCACACAAAGGTTAAACACAGATGCTGGCTGCAACATGGCACACTAAACATACACAATGTCTAGCATGGTTGCAAACCTGGTTTGTATGAAGCGAAAACCGTCTTGAGGCGGCAAATGGGTATCCTCACTTAGCAACTTCTTAAGCGAGGACGGTCTGCCCCCTTACAATCTCATTGAGTCGTAGAGGAATCAAACCTGACAAAAGGAAACGCAAGCAAAGAAGTTTGCAAGAAAACACCATGCACAGCGCACGAGGGGATGCAACGGATGCAACTTTCTTGTGCCATTTTCTTCAATGGAGCCTTGGGCCTTGGTTGCTGCATTGGCGCTGTCAGTGTTCGTGCTTTCCTGGTGGTCGGCTTCCTCGGGCCTCGGGTTTGTGGCTCGTGGGGGCCCAAAGTTTTGTTCACTTGACTTCGCAGCTGTTACAAGCCTTTCTCCATTTCTATTGCTCCGCTTAGTTTCGATTTTTCTATGATCGGCAACTTTGGGCCTTCAGTGAAAGTCTGCACTGAGCCTGCACGGTTCTACAGCAACTCAGCTGCAGTGAGCAGTTACATCGGCAAAAACAGCCACTGTGCTTCTGGGACTTGTGAACAGCCGGTAAACTTAGAAGGCAGGATATAAAGAAAGGCCAATGCCCCCAAGGCTCTTCTCGCAACGGTCCTCAAGTGGATTGATCACTATGACCGCTATGACCTCTATGACCGCTGTGACTGCACATTTGGTGTATGCAACATTATGCAACCCTTGAAGCCGTCCTAAAAGCAGATCTTTCTGCAAAAGAAGACCTCGGAGCACCAGTTCCACGATGTAGAAAACCAGAAAAGCCTGGAAAGCTGTTGCCATTCCACCAGCTGGCATGAGCACCTGGAACGCCCGCCTGGTCAACCCAGAAGAAGATGTCCTTGTACCTAAGGTGAGGGACAGTTATGAACAGGCTTGCAAACCTGAATTAACGTGTCAAAGCCGAAGCTGCCGTTCATCGGTCATCTCCTTGATTAGCGCCAGAACGTTCAGGACGACGATGCTGGTAGAAACCACTGTGAACACGTCACCCTCTACAAATCGCAAACACCTGCCACAAGAAGCCAATGCTGCAAAGAGATCTGGCAAACAATATGATCACTGCGCGATGCCCCGATCCTAGGTCCATGAAATGACCGGACTTGTTGTTGATCAAGCTCCAGTTTGTCCAGCTTTCGCAACTCGTCCTCAAGCTGCCCCTGCCCAGTCACGGCTGTGCAAGGTCGAGCAACGTATGAGCAACGTGCCCGATTGCGATCATTAGAGTCATGGATTCGCCCGCCTCTGGGGATGTGTCAAAGTGCTACCAGGTTACCACGGGTTTTTCAATGACTATGTCCAACGTTCTTTTGCGCTTGACCCTCGCAGAACCCAAGCAGCTCGGTCATCGATATGCTAAATCAAAGTGGAACACCAGCATCCCCACAGCTTCAACACTCGCCTGTCATTCCAGACCATCGCACATGGCATGTGATGCTGCGTAGATACCCGCCTGGAGCTGCTTGATGTCCTCCTCTAGCTGTTCCTTTCTCAGCTGGTATTTCTCCTCGATTCTCTTTAGGTGCTCGCGCTCATCTTCCTGGCTTTGAGCTGTTTTCTGTTGGCTCATGCAAACAAGACCTCGTGACCAGCTGAGAGCTTGAGCGGAAGCCCCCTCCCCCGTGGTGCATGAAAGAGTCTGCCGGCCGTCAGTTGTCGGGCGACAGGCTGGCGAGAATGCTTTCAGATTCAGAAAAGCGGTGCAGGCAACCGCTTCTGATTCAATGCCGTATTTTGATAGCCCCGTGGCAGAATACCACATCAAGGCTCGCATGATTGTAGTTCGAGTATTTTCCATTCAATTCACAGGCCAAAGCTGCAAAAGCGTTTGAAGATCAAGGGGTGCGTTGATGCGACCATGGCCAGGATCTCGCAAATCTGACGGCCCGGCTACAGACATGACTCTGAAACCTCCAAAACAACTCGCAGCCTCTTCCTGTTTGTACTTCTTCTTGAGACTTCTCAGGTCCTGACAGGCATGGCAACTGATCCACCGGCTGGAGTTGCGGCAGCCACCACATATGGTGGCACCCACTTCCGCCCTGCACCCGCAGCATGTGGTTCGTCTACTGTTGATTGGTCGCAAGTCCTTCATCTTCTGGCGAGAAAGAGACTGGTCGATGCCGTCGGACTCACCATCTAGAGAATCGGTCGAGTCATCAGCCGAGTCATCCCGTTGAAAACCTAGCATATTGCCAGCACGCTATGCAGACTGCGATCGTCTGCTATCTGCACAAATTGCACAAGAGTCCAGCCCAGCCCTGTGAATTAAACTGGCCTGCGTTCGGGCAATCTCATGCGAGCACCACAATACATCCAACAAAGAGTATGGCAAGACTAGGTATTGCAGGTGAGCATCACACTGAGCCATCTCCTTGCACATCACTTCGCGTTCGGGATCTCCGACATACACAGTTGACGCCCTCGTATCTCCTTGCAGGGAGCATGGATGCGGGGGCAATGCAGTGGGCAGAGTCCAAATGTCCCGGCGTGGGCAGCTGGATCTGTTACTGAGGGGCACCCCTACCCCTACAATCCTGGACTCCCTGGAGGAGGTGTCTGAGTCGGTCTCAGACTGGCAGTTCATGCCAGCTCATGCCAGCTGCAAGCTGTTGCACATCTGTTGCACACCTGTTGCACACTCTCACCGATGTTTTGAAGAAGCTACTAAGTTGGTGTGTTCTCGGTTGATCTATATGATTGGGGTCCCCTTTCTAGAGTGCATGTCCAATGTGGCGGTTCTTGAACACTGTTACATCTACGACTGCCCATTAACATAAGTGGCCCAGATCTCAGAAACGCTTCTAGGATGGACGACGGCTGCGGTCGGCAGACATTGCAGCAGAATGGGTAAATCAGGCACTTTTTCTTCGAAAAGACAGAAGCACTAAGTGCAATGCATAAACAGTTGAACACCTATCAGGAATCGGGCTCCGCCAGCATCGGCGACCACGTTCAGCAGTTGTGAGACAGTAGACCTGGCTCAAGGCCCACAAGAGGCAACAGTGGGCGCAAGTATTCTGCAGCAATGACTACTGGCTCAAGGCCAAGCCCGTGCGGCGCTTTGCAAGGCCAAGCCGCTATGCCGCTAAGCCTCTATCTCCTCCTTTAAGCACAAGCCAGGGACTGTTAGGCCTGTTAGGCCTGCTAGGCCTGTCACGGGACCGGTCGGTCCTGCCTACTACCCAATTTCCCAAGTCCCGCCCCAAAAAAACACCGGTGGGCAAAAACACGTTGTGCCTCGTTCATAGATAGTTGGGTTTCACGACTGGTCAGATGCGAACCCAAAACAAATCACACAAGCAAAACGGCCAAGAAGTTGTCAGTGTGCATTCAACTTTGTCTGCCCTCCTGGCCCTCAATGACCCTCGATGGCCCTCAGCACTAGCCAATGCAAGTTGCCTTGTGTTGCACGATACTCTCTTATTTCGTATGTTCTCCACAAGGCTCCGGGAGGCTCCGGGACGACCACTCCAAACAAGTACAAGAGTAGTACAATCCACAATGTCACTCATCGTCACTCTGTGACACTCCTGGCCTGCCACCTGTTTGCTCAACAAGGGTGTCAAAAGCCACGTCCCTTCTCTCACTGGCCTGGGTACTGCGCTCGCAGACCATTCAGAGCACTCAGAGCACTCAGAGTACCCCATACAAGCTATGCGAGGCGATCTCGAATGCTGTGAGGCCTTTGGACTCCTGAAGAGTTCGGCATTCTTTGCCAGAAAGGCCTCCCGGAATCTCCCACATACCACAGCCCTGCTTGCATCGGGTCTTCCGGGTCGTGCAAGAAGGAAGACTGCACTGGAACTCCCAAATTTCTCAAGCAATAACAATGCTGCTGAGCTCCTCCGGTCCGCCCCATCTCCGCTCGACCAGGTCCTGCACAGAAGCCGCACATGAAAAGGCGACTAGACCTCGACCATCCTTAACTTAAACTATATAACATATATATAAATTGTTGCTTCCAGTATCTTCCAGTCCATCAACTCGTTCCAGGCATGTTGCCCGGAACCTGCCATCTTTGGGCAGGCTTCGAGGTTGGCCGATTTGGCCAGAATGGAGAGGTCCGCAGCTTCCGTGACTTCCGCTGTTGCTCGCGACTTTCGCGACAGGTTTAAGGGCCACTAGGCCACTAACAATCAAGTCTTGCAGGCTTAGCAGTCTTGAACGTGGTATCGCGAAGCCACGACTTTGAGCAGAGAGGCCTCCAGCGTTTCAGAAAAGAGCTTGCGAATCATGCGAATGTGCTGAATGAACCGGCTTTACGCTCTGATGTTCCACACGTCTTTCGTCTCTGACTGCGCCCATGCAGATCCCGGGAGGATCCCGCAGCCTTCAGCCGCAGACTCCAAAGCAAATCTGCCCAATGAGGTGCACGCAGGGTGCCACGCACATGTGCACGTCTGCGAGCCCCTGTGCAGCCACTCTCGACACACTTCGCATTAGCACAAGCAAAGGCTGGCAGAGGATTCGGCGCAAAAGCGCTCTCGCAACTCTACCTTGGCACATTCTTGGCACATCTTTAGGCACACTGGTACCATGCTTCACATAGTCTTCATCAGCGTTCCGAGTTCCGACATCGCTGCTAAGGCAAGATGGGATAGTTGAGCTGCACAAAGACAAGTACAAAACCAGTACAGACAATAGTAAATTCAGCGACTGCATCGCCGCCAGCCAGGGGATGGATCTGACACTTCTGGTCAAACCCAAGCAGCATCCCTTTTAGACGCCGCTCTTCCGATTCTCGGGAGTCGTTAGCAAATCGTCGAGAGTGGATCAGGGGATTCCACCGTTAAACAATTAGTTCTAATGGTTCTATTTGGTGGATTCATGAATCCTTGTCTGGCGCATAGTTTCGGCCAGACACCACCTCAGCAGCTGATCTTGTGCAAAGAACACCCTCAATCCATGAAACGAAAGGGCTAGATCAGCAAAGTGCTACAAGCTTCATACATGAGCTTACTTCTGCATCTGCATCGAAGAGGAGCAACCATGCGCATGTTTGGATTCAGTCATGAGACTGAAGGGCGGTTGGGATTCACAGCCTGTCAGGGATGCGGCAGCCACAGATGTTGCATGCATGGGTCAGGTTAATGAGAAGGAAGGCCTTGTGAGACGGTGTCTGCAGTGCTTCATCCACTGGCTGCTGCCACGCATCTTGAGGCCTTGGCTCTTCCCTGTTAGTAGCTGCTGTGGCTCGCTGCTGTGGAAGCCGACACCAAGCTCTGCACCGTGTCTCCATGCCAGTCACAGCCTGAGCCCGGGTAGACACATGCCCAAAAAACTTTCAGTCCATGTCTCGAGAGATCTCAAGACTGCACTCGGCAAGCGCACAAACAACAGCAAACCACTGAGAATCGAGCTGCAAAGGTCCTCCATAGCCTGTCACCTAGTCGGGTATCGGTGATGAGCCCGTTGAGCGCCACCTCTTTGATCGACCGAGTTTGGGCAGGTTTAAACGTTCCCACCATCTCAAATTGATCCACCAAGCCCCTTTCGGGCATCCGCTCGTAGACTTTGGGCATCTGCGGGATGCCAGAGCGGGAGTGCTCATCGAAGATATCGGTGTGTAGATTCCAGTGGTCCCTGGGCTCCCGTTCCTCCGGCTTGTTTTCGAAAGCAACTCCGGTGCCCAGCGAGTGGCTCCGGCGTAAGCGGAAAAGCGATTCTTTGTGGCACCAGTCGCTCTCCATGGTGGGCGAGAAGCTGAATGTTCGCACTTCACGTGCCTCAACTCTGCAGCAACTCTTCTGGCTAGGCTATCGGAGTCTGAGGGCCAATCATCAGAAACTTGGGAGCCAGGTGACGGCACCCTTCGGCTGGCGAAGGCTTTCCTGCAACACAACATATCGTGAGACAACTCTCACTCCTGCACAATTTTGCTGCGCGGTACTGTCGCTGGAGCGATAAGCACACACACACACACACATGGAACCAGGCCTGCGTCGACTTCCTCATAAAGACTTTGTCTTGCTTTCTGGATCTCGGGCCGCGACGAGCAAGCGGTGGTAGCAGACCAGGAACACGCAGCAGGCGCCCATACTTTAGCGGTTCTTCACGTTGATACCGCAACAGGTGATCACCACCTGAAAGAATCAAGCACAAGCGGACGAATGGCTCTTCCCTGTCCTTGTGCAATTCCTACAGTGCCAGCTCTCGTGCCCTGGAGGCTTGATGTTCACTGAGTGCAGCACTGGCAGGAAGCGAACGCATCAGCTCATACCGCATGCGAAGACGCGCAGCCTTTGGCCTGACCAGAATCTTCACCTTTTTGGAGCCTGAGTCTTTGCCATCTTTGCCGTTACCACCACTGCAGCACAGACGGGCCCCCCAGGTGGCCCCAGATTTCTACTTGACATTTGCCTTGCCAGGGCACCGAGAACTTCAGGTAGGTTCTTGGAAGCAGGGTCTTCGTCCAGGAAGGACTCGTTTGCTGAGGAGTAGTCAGAGGATTCATCGCCATCCTCTGAGCTCTCCTCCTCTTCCTGTGGAAAACTCCTGAAAGGGGCATGCAGGGGCATGCAGGGGACACAGGAGCCTACTTGGACTGACACATATCGCTTGCACATCTCCTGTAAGCTTCAAGAACCTTCTCCATCACAGCAATCTCATCGGGCGTTTCCCTTAAGACCGACAGCATGGTGATCTTCATCGGCGACAGCCAGGGGATCAGGAGTCGATCCATGACCGCATGGACACCAACCTGGACATGAATCGAACCGGGACCGTCGCAACCAAGACAGATGGAACAATCGCACACGTCGAGTAGTCTGCGGGCAGTTTTGCCCTGGTTTGCAAAGTAGAATCGCAGAGCAGCAAATTGCTGCAAAGTCACTAGAATAAAGAGGAGCACGAAGAAAGAAGGCGCGGCCCAGGTCACAGCATCTCCCATCGTGATGGGGCTAACCAATACGAGCAAACAGATCGCGATGGACGCGCCTGTGATCTCATACAAGATCTCATGTCGCAAGTCACTCAACGGAAAAGCTTGGATGCGGCCAAAGTACTGATGATCCTATGCACTCTTCTGACACGTGCAAGGTATTGCATGCGGAACTTCAAGTTCTTCTCACCGGCTGCTAGGTACTTGCGCAAGGCCACCTCTGCTTCCTGCAGACATATGCAGACATGTGCAAAGCGCGGCTAAACAAACCTCGGAGCCCTGGAGTCCACATGTTCTGTGTATGCTGAGCCTTGTAGCTGAGACCGTTGTCAACATAATCCTTCAATAAACTGCAAAGCGGCACACAATGGGCTGTCTGTGATGCAATCGCCAACGCGTGCACACAGACACACACACACACACACATTGGTCCTGGATTCTGTGCTTCATGATGTCCTCATACTAAGGCGAGAATGAAATGAAAACGCAGATGTTCTGCTGTCGCCTTCGCACTATGCCTGTCTAACAACGAAGTTTTGCTTCCCAAGCCCCTCACCAAACTGCCATCCATGTTGCGAAGAGGAGGCGAATTACAATACCTGCAAACATCCAGCAAACAACTCGGCAACTTCGGCAGATCTGCACACAGTGACAACATGTGACAGTCAAGGGGGCCTTGCCGGAAGTGCAAGAATGGAACAACCGGGCAGCCAAAGCCTGAAATGTGGCATAGCCGGCATAGCTCTGGCAGAGTTCTGGGGCTGTTTGTGGCTCTTCACCAAGCCAAGTGTAATTCCTCGGGTTACCAACAGGGCTCCGGCAAGAGTAGCGCCACGGTGGCAGCCGTCGACACTTGAGTCGTCACGTAGTCCTCTTGGTCCAAGTACCCACGTCCAGCCTGCCCAACTTCAACGCCGCTCTCTCCTTTCTTCGCAGCAGCGCAAAGACCTTAAAAAACCGCAAAGCCTGCTTGACAAGCTCGCGGCAGCGCCACCGAACTCGCAGCGGAGAGAGATTGGCCCCCTGAGTGCCGGGAGCCCGGGAGCCAGTTCAGGTGAGCTGAGCGTCTACATAATACTACACATAATACTACATTTAACACCACGCGGACCACGCGGGGCCTCCCTCCACAAGCCGAAGACCGTGAACGAGCTGACCTTGCACCGCTGCGCTAAAAAGCGATGCGGAGGGCAAAAAATGGCACCGCGACTTTGCCTTCAGGGACTCATACAGGCGCAGCCATGGTTGACGGAACCACAGATGCACCTTGGACCTTGGAAGGCTACAGCGTCTGTTGAATCATTTGATCTCACCTAGGCGATTCGATAAATTCGAGTCTTCGGCTTTGGAACTGCATTGTAGAGGGGTCGCGGCAGCACAGCGAGCCTCAACTTCACTGCACCGAGGTTGCTACAAGCGCGACAGGAAACGCTCAAAGGACAATAACACCACAAAGGTGCTGGCTGCATGACGTCTACGTGTTTGCCTCCGAGCTCGGCAATGTCCTGAGTAACCCGCACCAAAAGCAGTTCCGGTGGTTCTCGGATGGTTCATGTCAGCATGTCTCTCGAGCTCTGCCATCGGTCCTCCCACATGTCAATGAGGGTGCCAGTCTTGCCGTGCTCTTGCCTGGGAGTTCGGTCACGACAGCCAGCGAAATCAGAAGCCATTGGTATTCAGAGGCCAGGAAGTCAACGAAGGTCTTGAATGCTGTTGGCGTTGAACCCAGTTATTCATTTTCCTACTCCCCCGGAACCTTAGAGGCCGCGGGCAGAATATGCCTTATTCCACCTCAAGAAGCCCAAGCCAGAATTCCATGCCACATGACCGACTTGTGACATATCACCGGCTGCCAGCCAACTAGGGGAGGTGTGATGTTGCCAGGAATGCTATCTGATCTTACCCCGATGTTGCCAAGATAGTGGGCCGCCTGTGCTGAGTGGTACTCTTGGTGATTTCGTTGGCTTTATCCTCAAAGCCAGAAGTGCAAACTATCCTGAGGCTTGCGCAGCTTGTCCACAAGCAGGCCTGCAAAGGCAGACTTGCATGGATGTGCAACCCCCATCACTTCTTGTGGCGCTGCAGTACTTGTGCCACCTAACTGCATGAATCTGCGCAACAGGGTAGCTCTCATCGACTGCACCTAGCTGCGGCGACATCGGCAGGCCTTTCCGGGTCAGTCCTTGCCTGAGGCAAAGTCACGCACAGATCAACATCTTCTGTATGCGCAGCTGAGCGACATCTCCCGCTGTATTCACCGTCCCCCCGGTGATTGTTTCTTATGGGAGGGATCCGTGCAAAGGGCGGCCAGATCTCCCTCTGTCCAAATCCTTCTTCTAGTGTGCCTTTCCAGGTTCTGCAGTGTGAATGGGGGGGGACAGCCTCCCACCTGGTTCGCCCTCGCCTTTCTTTGGGTCCAAATGACGCGGCTGAGCCCTGCTTCAAATGGGTTGAGGGTGCCCCCCACCGTTCGGGCATCCCAAGTATGAGGCGCTCGGGCACCACTTCCAAAGTGCAATGAACAACAACCTCACACATTGCGACATGCTTCCTGGACATCAGTCTTTGTGAATCTTCGTACAGCAAAAAGAAGTACGAAGCATGACTGCCCCCGAACAAAGGTGACCGAGCTTGCATGCGTGTGCAAGGAAGCGGGCGCTTTCCGGGGAATGGGCTGAAGGCCCTAGGGCCGTAGCCGTCAGGCTCCAATCCAAATGTCAGAAGTGTTCCAATCCCACGTCTCTGTCGACCCACGACTCCATTCTCCCGAAGTGTAATGAAAGAATCGTTGCTCGAGTATGCCCTCAACAAGCAGACAACTCTATGCCCTGGACCCTGGGTACCCACAGACCCCTAGAACGGCTCATTGGGCTCGATAAATGCGTCAGAGCCCTCCAAGGCTGAGGGCTTAGGAGAAATGCCAAGGGCCAGGAAGTGTCTCTCTATGTCTCTTTGTATCACGTTTCATTCGATTCCTGTCCGCGCTCCCCGGTTGGACTCGAGTCTACGCCGCAACCTGTCATGTAAGATAACATCGAAGCAAACGACCCGTCGTCAGGCCTTCCGCCTTTGTTCGAACGCCTTTTCCTGACAACGTCTGGAACGCACTGGCAAAGGACAAGAAACCTGTGATGCCAAATTGTCCGCATCTTTTGCAGCAAAGCATCGGCCAACATGCCCGTATCCGTCGTGCGCAAGGGGCGCACATGCGCCTTGCAAGTTTCGATATCGGAGAAGCCCCTGTGCTGCACTCAAAGGCCAAGTGCCTCAGGCAGGACACCGCCATGTCAAGTACCTGAGTATTTCACACGCGAACAGGAATACACTTTTCAGGCAAACGTGAACACCTGTAACGTGGCCACGCGACACATTTGCAGAATCTCCTGTGGCACCTGTGAGCAGAGTCAAGCCGAGCTAGTTTTGCTGCTTTTGTTGCTCCTCAACACTCCACAACCATTCCCGTCTCTGAAAATGCATGTAGAACCTCCTGCCTTCGTGATGCTCGCGGAGACTCTGTACCAGGCTCCGACTCATCCGCCACCGGAATCTTCCAATCATCGTTCACGCGCATGCCGCGTCTTGCGTCTGCCCTCGTGGCGTCATTCCGTGGGCTGACACCTCGGCCTGGACTTCTTGGGCTGAAGTTCCGACCAGGACTCCGAGGACTTTGGTTTCTAGATCTGCCCGGGCTTTCCACTCTGCGAACCGTGGCAATGTCCACGCGCGTTCCATCAGCCAGGCGGGCAAAACGAGCTGGAGCTGCCTGCAAAGCTCTTGCTGTAGAAAGCCCTGGACCAGAGCTTGGAGCGCCATCAGATCTTGGGCTTCGTGGGCTGCTGTTTGGGCTGTTGCTGGGGCTGTCACCCCGAGTAGCCCTTCGGAGCAATGTGGTAACGGAGCCCAAGTTCTTCTTTAGCTTGAGGCCCTTGACCCTTGGACTTCCACGACCTGGGCTTGGACCTGGACTAGCGCGACCAGATTCGGGCTTGGAACCAGGACTGCGCGGGCTGCGTGCGGATCTCGGGCTTCGATCTGAGCGTGGGCTTCGAGGACTGCGCGGGCTGGAGACAACACTCGGAGGACCTTCCTCGTCCTCCTCCTTCTCCCAAAGACCCAGCGCTCGCAGCACCGCGCAGATCAAGTACCTAGGTTCCGAAGAAGCTGCGCAGGTCGACATGACTACATCCAAGGCAGGAGGTATCAAGTCTTCCAGTGCTTCTGCCGAAAAACTCTTCGGTGCGCTCCTCCTCGCACAGACATGTTCAATTCCGAACAGACAACTCAGACGTCTAACGGCCTGAGCCATGAACAGATAAGTAAATGCAGAGCTCCTCAAAATGCAGGAGGCGATCACGAGATGCATAAGCAAGAATACCCGCAAGAAATCTTGGTGGATTTCCCATGTGGGTCGTCTGCCTGCAAGCTGAGCAGCAATGTGAACCAGGTTGCCAAGCAAAGCACTTAAAGTCACTTGCCTTGAACTACCAATCAGCCACACCCAGACACAAAGAGAGTACGTCTGAGCGGTCACCTCACGGAAAGGAAACTACAAGGTGTTTGAGGTGAGGGCACAGTCAAACCAACAAATGCACTGAGTTCATGGCTGCACAGAAGAGCGCAAGAGCGACGGCAAAGCCTTGCGGGCTCTCGCAGCAACTTCACAGCATCTTGCAACATTGCATCCTCAGAAGGTCCCCACCTGGAGTCCAAGCAGACACGCCTTCAGGTGGCACCAACCTCAGGACACAGCGACACGGCAGCCACACGGCAGTGCAGGGCCAGCATTCATGCCATGCAGCACGACTTGTTTGATTATGTCCTCTGGTGCGTACTCAGACGCAGACAGGAGCATTGTCACAAAAGGCAGCAACCTGGATATACTTTGAGGATGCTGCGGCTCAACGGCTCAACGCACACTAGAGCGAACTAAGATCGTTTGTATGCCTTGCCTCGCTGGCCATCCGGCAGCAGCACGCAGTATGACATTGAGCATGACTTCCTTATGCTCAGACAGCTTATAAAAAGGCCTTCATATCCTTCATGGCCTTCCGAACTTTCAAGGCACAAACCACTTTGCAAACAGCTGGCTAGGTAGCTGTGTCATGCAAGGCCTGTTTCTTCAAACGTGTGCGCCTGCTCGCTGCCAAGCCAGGGTGTAACAGCCACCGGCTGCGAAGCTGCGATTCGTGCGGGCCGAGGCTCCATGCCGCAGATCGCAAGAAGTCTCAGAGCCTTCGGGCATCTTGGGGCTCAAACTGCTAGCAAGCTCTCTTAAACCCCCACAGCAGGTGCCATCAATTCGCGCACGGCGTACCTGAGCTGGAATGCCCAAGTCTCCAACCAGCACCTAAGATCAGCACTGCCGGAGATGAAACACGAAATGCTGAGCTACTCATTAGCTGCTTTGCAACCGGGACCATAGGAGTAGTGCGCATCACATTGTCAGGAGCAATCATCGCTCAACAGTCGGCTGTTTATGGCAAAATTGCCTGCCGGGCCACGCACTGCTTGGCAGCAACCAATCGCGCAGGTAAGTCTGATGCTAGCACAACGTAGCCTTAGGTCGCGCTCATTCAATGCTGCTTTTTCTTTGCAGCTGCCGACATGGCCTATACTGACTTGGAAATGTAACGAGCAGAAGCCATTCAACAATTCAACAACACTAAGCGACTGAAAGTGGTAGTCGCATAGGTCATCGCAGCAGCTGCCTGATACAGGCCACTGGTCAACGGGACATGCTACTCATGTGACATTTTGTGTCTCAGGCTGAGTCCATGATTCCGGCTTCTGTTGTCGAGCGCAATGCGACTTGCATCTGGCAGTGGAGAACGATTCCCTGCTGCTCTTGTGAGCGCACATGTCCACTCACAGCAGTCATTAAGCATGGCACTGGCAAGTCTGAGATGACAACCTGTCACAGGCGCAAACACCAAAAGACCATCATTCCAACATGTGTTTCCAGGCAGTACGAGTAGATATGCATGCCTGCAGTGACCAAAGGAGCCGCACGGCCAGTATGAGCGGGTACCTGTAAGTTAAGTCGCAAAGCAGTGAAGGCAGGGCAGATGAAGCAGAGCTCCATGCTTGTTTGGCAATCGAAGGCCCTCATCAGATAAGACAGCTAAGTCAGTTCTGGAAGCACAGTGGCACCGTGCAACATCAGGCAGGGGCAGCGTGGCAACAACCTTATGACCACTGGCCCATCACTGAAAAACCTAACTGAAACAGAACAGCAAATCTTGGAGCTTGGCGAACTCGTAGGGCATTGGCCTGACAGGCAAGTGACCTCTACCCAACCAGAACAAGACACAACCTCAACGTTGATGACTAGTGAATAAATGCGAATCAGATGTGAAAGTCAGAAAACACCTTAACCCAAAGAGTACACGGCATACGCCTTAAAACCGCAGGGAGATGGTAGCGTCATAAAGCCTTTTGCCCCTGCAAGGGAATTCGGCCATCTAAAGCTGTGCCCTTGTTCCAGACTCTGCATCTTTCCGACTTGCCAGTGTTCTTGTTCCGTACACACCCACCTTACGACAAACACCGTCAAGATGTTTGGAGCCACCGGGAGAGGGTGCAGTGCTCGCAGAAAGGCGTGGATAGCATCAGACGCGCGAACCATGCACGGGCGACATGCGGCTTCCCATGACAGCACCCGGCTAGTGCACTGCATGGGAGCCGCGTCCGTGTGACAGGTCGCGTTACATGGGGGGGGGGAGGGGCAGGAGGGTGTGGCAAAGCCGCAGCTCTCCTTCGCCTCAGTCAAGCTTGGCACAATGGCATGAGCACGGACCAGGTTGATGGCCGCACATTGGATTGGCAATCACAAGTTGCTCTTTTCGATAAGATATGAGTATGACATGCACTTCTCTGTGCAAATGTGCCTTCGAAACTCAGATAAAACAAAGGAACAAAATACATAAACTTAAACATAACAAAAGGACTCGGGCGGATGGAACGTCGCCAGTCGTCACAGAGGACTCTTTCAAGATGCGCTAGCTTTCCCTCGTCGAAGAGTGCTGAGATGTGAGAAAAAACGTTCTCTCTTGGTTCTGTCAACAGGGAACCCCCTTGAGCCTGAAGAGCGCATCCTTCAGGGCGAACTGGGAGCTCATCACCGCTTGTAGCGCAGATGCGAAATCCGCCTCGGCGATTCAAGCTCGATGCGGCTTCTACACCTGAAATGCAGCGGACTCGATAAGAGCCCATGTGGCCGTATGCAGAGCTACGTCGAGAGAACCGCAAGCATGTTCCAAACCTCTGAATCACCTCTTCAGGCTTCAACCGTAGCACTACGCATTGCAAATTACGCATTCAATGTGTCCGAGATCTGCACCAACAGGAAATGGACAATCATCCAGTCCTTGGTCAGCTCCCAGACACTCGGGAAAAGAACCACAGCGTGGCTGTTGAGTCATTGAGCGCAGCTCCCCGAGCAATGTCAGAATGGTCACCACAGCCGTTCCACAAAAATAAATGATGGCACGCGCCTTCTTGGCTGTCTCGGGTCCCAGAGTGTGGGGCAGATGTATGCAAATGTTGCTAATGGAGCTGTGGATTCTCAGACATGCGCCCGGCTTCGAGCCATCGGCTCGATGCCTGAAGAGGCACGACAAGCAGCACGATGCATACCTGTTCAGGGAGACGCCCCTGATTTCCAACTGGATTCGCACAGCATTGATATTGGATGCTAGATGTTACTGGAAGCCTGCGAAGGCAAGGATGCTCAACGCAACGGATGGAACCAGGACAACCATCCCAACTCCAAGAATCCACCTTGCGACTTGACAGGTATGCCAGGTCGTCAAAGCAGATCGCAAGCATGAAGCATTTATCATCACAACATGCTGCTTGGTGACGGCAGTGCAATCGAATGCAAGCAAAGGCAAATCAACGCGGCAGCAGCCCCCGGAAAAGAGGTCGTCAGCTTCTCGCGCCACTCCTGATCGGGACTGCAATCACTAGGTTCAGAGACAAGGCATGTGATGTAACCCGTGGGCATGCATGCGGCCCCTTCAGCCAAAGACTGCAATTACTTGTATGATTCATGCTGTGCAAATCTGTGCAATAAGTTGCATGAAGCGTCTGCCCAGGACTCTGATCTCCAGACCCAGCAGATGTAAAGGCAAGTAAGCACTTGCGCTAACATCGCCACTGCAGCCTTAGCTTATGCTTCCTTCATGAGCTGTCATCAACAGTTCTGCAAGCTGTTTGCAAGAGCAAGATGCGAATATCACCGGAGAGCTGTAGGTCATGATGAGATCGGCACCTTCCGAACGAAAACGAGCACGTACGCACGCTTCTTATTGTTCTTCTTTTTCTCCTTCTTCTTATTCTTATTCTTCTTGTTCTTCTTATTCTTCTGATTATTGTTCTTCTCATTCTTCTGGTCCGCAAGCTGTGAACTGCAACCGAAACTTCTTCACATCTGTATGAATCTCCTAAAGCATCTGTATCTCTCTGCAACCCAAGTCGTGCCGCTGCACCTGCGGCATAGAGCGTTCCGAATGCATTGGCCTGCACTCGATTTAGGTGCAAGCAGGCTTGACTAGGCTTGACAACGCCCGGTTCCATGCGGTGTACACGTACCTGGGAATCGCAACATGCAAGTGGGAAACCTGCGCCAAGGGGGCTTGCACGGCTGCAGAGCTTATCTTTGTCAGGCTTTGCTGGTGCCTCTGGGAGTGGGACAGCAGTACAGCAGGTCAGCTTCTTGGAAGTGGTCCCTGATCAAGGTGGAGAGACTTGGCAAGTCAGTGACAGCAAGAAGCACCAGCCCCACAGTGAAAAGCGTGTGAGTCCAGCCAGATCTCCATATCTCGGGACTTCAACTGGCTGTGTCACATGTGTCACATGTGCCTTTTCAACTTGCCCACCCGCACGCTTCTCTTCATTCGCCCTGCCATTTGCCCTCCGCTGAGTGTGAGAACGGCCTCTGCCATAGTCTGAAACTTGTTTCTCCAACAGCCCTTTTCCATGCACATTCAGCAAATCTAGCAGGTGTGCCACTCAAGAGAGACAAGACAGTAAAGCGACTGATTCGTTAATTTAAGCACTCTTGAAGCAAAGTCTGAGTAAGCCATCTGCCGGAAGGTCCTTTGGGAATTTCCCACCGTCCCCTCTTCTGATGGCCGGCAAGGACCGGCGTGGGTTCTAACGGGCTTGAGGCCTGCAACCTGCAGTTGAAAAAAATTTGGGTCGCACGCAACCCTCCCCTGTGCTCTTGTTTACAAAGGACCTGCACTGTGGCATGGCATGGGTTGCAATAGCGTTGGTCTTGATCGGATTTGTGCCCGGACGGCTCAGGGTATAGATTGGCATGACACATCAAGCGGGAGGCTGGAGCTCCAATCGCGCCCTGCAACATTCTACCTTACTGTGGCTCACCTGTCCGGGCTGCGGCTGCTATGCGCTGGTTGGAGTGTTGTTAAGCAACGAAAGCCTAGACCACAGTAGTTTAGACGGTTGAGGTTAAGAAGAAAACACGTCGTTACATTCTTTAATTTAGCATCCTCATGCGACCGAGATAGTTTTTTGACCTCGCTCCTTTGTGTCGTGGATAGCGAGTTGAAGCAAAACCCCCTGCCCTCCTCCGACATGGATTGAGGCTAACTGGGGTTGCTCCTCTCCCACTGTGGATTGCACCTGCGCTTAGATTATGGCAAAGGAAGGTGAACGAACGACCCTGTAGTGTGCATTGGTTTCCATGGAGGACCGCCGAATGTGAACTCAGTCCCCACAAGGTCGTCAAGCCCAAACCCTTCAAAAATGGTCTGTCTCATGCCAACACTTGCTCAACGGGCCCAAATGCTCGCATGATGGGTTCAAGAAGAAACATATGCTTTAAAGGAAGCTTGCACGGCTTAATGAAGCGGAGGAGTTGGGGGGGCCAAGCAATGTTCGCATGATGGGGTTTCAAGATTGTTCATTCGCTTTGAAGCAAGCTTGCACGCTTCAAAAATGCAGCAGGGGTAGGGGGGCTGCAGGGCCCGTCCATTTGCACACACAACGCTTGCATGATTGCTCTGAAGCAAGACTGCATGGACGAAAAAGACGGGAGGGGGGGGGGGGGGGGGGGGGGGGGCCCCCCCCACCCCCCCACCCCCAACACTACGTATGCTCGCATGATGGGGTTTAAACACAATAATATGCTTTGGAGCCAGCTTGCACGACGATGAGAAAAGCGATCCCCGCGGTGGGACTGGGAGAGCGCGTTTTGTTTTTTGCTGTGGGTGCGGCGTCGCCACACGCCAAATCGCTCACTCACCGGGGCGGCCCCGAAAAGAAACGCCCACAGCAGAAACAACACCCACAACAAAAGACAGCACGGGTTCCCAGCGACAGCTCCCTTAGATTTATGTTGAATACTGATCAGCGTGATCTGCCAAATGTGGACGACCCGCACCTTGCTGGTCCAATTCCTCAATATCGTGCTAAGTTTGTTAAGCCGTCCGAAATGCGGTGAGGTGCCAACCTTCTCGTAGTCACATATATGTAGCTATAGACATCAGCACCAGTCGTTGAATTTCTGCCATTTTCTGCCGCAGCCCACGCACACTTAATGTTGATGGATTGTCCAGGAAACTTGCACATGCTGATGCACAGAAGATCAAACGTGCTGTGGAGGAAGAACAGCAAAAAAGTAGAGGCAGGAATGGAACGTTTATATAAGTTTGGAATAAAACCTGTCCAGCCGCCCAGCCCAACTAAAACACGGCATTTCGACTCCTGCACAGGTGCGCTGGAAAACCGTTCTGCCGAGCCTGCAGCTGTGTTCGATGCAGCGCGATGCTCCATAAAGAATGCGTGGCCCCGACTGCTCAGTGCAGGAAGTCCGAGCTCCGTCCTGAAAACGGCAGGGCAAACAGCGAAAGCACGACAACCAAAACACTGAACACACTTGACTCACTGAGACCACACAAGTAGAATGTCCTGCATTAGAGGGTAAGTGCAGACATTGCATATACCACCAGTTCCGGCGGTACCAATCGGACAGCTCCTTGGTTCGAACTTGATTCGGAAGAGTTTATAGAGGCTGCATCCAAAAATTCTGAAGTGTGGCTCCACGCGACTTTCCTTTAACCCTTCAGTCTGAATGACAAAGGCGCTCACATGAGGTCCGCTCAGAATTCTGCTGCGTACCATCGGGGCATTGCATGCAGACTCCAAGTGTTCCAGCGGTTGTTGGCGGGCATGGGATGCAAGAAGAGTTTTGTCCCAGCACTGGCCGCGTTCCATTGGGACAAAGATTGCAGGATCCCGCTGAACCGAAGTAACCTTCTGCACAATCTTCACAAAAGGAGCGGTCTGCGCTAGCACCAGTCCCCTGCCAGCAGTGATTGGCGCAATCCCGGCTAAAGCGAATGCTAGCAGCTTAGGTTCTGTTCAGGACTGGTTCACTAGGTCGATGGTCGCCGAAGTCAGATCAATTATGGGCCAACCAATGATGGGCCAAAGGGAGGGTGGGGGGGGCTATAGTACCGGCATGTGCATACTTGTGGCTTCTTTGTTTTTGGCCTGTGGGGCACCAGAGGGACTCTCCGGGGATTGACTGCAGGGCGGAGAAACACGGCAAATACCGATGTAATCGACATGTCGGCTTTGCACGTTTACAGGGCATCGGGGCCAATATTCGCGCACTGAGAAGGCAATGTCTCGTACCGGCTGAGATGGCGCATTCGCGCACCGGCGGATTGGCGCACTGGCCCGGCGAGGGAAACCCTGAAGCCGAAAACCGTACCCACTCAAGCCAGAAAGACCGAAAATGATTAAAGACCTGAACCTTCAAAAAACCCTCAAAACCCTAAAGCCTAATATCCCTCAACCATGAAATCAGCCCTCCAAACCCTGATTGGAAACATAAAGTCCGAAAACCCCTGAAGCCGAAAAACCCTCGACCTCCAAAACCCTCAGCCTCAACACCCTGATTGGTGCACAAGCCCCCAAACCCTCAAGCCCTAAAACCCTTGGAGCCCTAAGAACATAAAGCCAAATGGATCGCAGGCCCCGGTTTTTTCTTATGCTGCTTGCTTTCGCGATTTTGCTTTTATGCTGCACCGTGCTTTTTTGTTGTGCCCTTCCTGGCCTTTCTGAATTCCTACCGTTACGCTCAAGTCTTCTGGGACCTACCTTGGGCTCAGGCATAACAACCTACAGGGCTTTGGAGATGCTTTGGGGCAGGTCAAAGAATCAGGGGTTCAGGGTCTAGCTCATGCTCAGGGCCCAGCTTCTCCCCAGGCATTGCAACCCATGGTTTAAGGTTGGGCGATTGGTGATTTAGGGTAGACTTGTCTGGAGTTGCGTTCATGCGTAGATATGGGCGGGGGAAGGATTGGAAGTGTCGAGGGTAAGAAAAAGTCAGGTCAGCACTGACGGACCTTAGAGCATGAGAAGAAAACGTTCGAGGCTAAGAGCTTAGGAGGGCCTTTGGGGCCCAGGAGAAAACAGACAAATACTGTAGGTAAATAGCGTAGGAAACAACCCGGTCCAAGCCTAAACGCCCTCGACCATGAAAACCTCAGCCCTCAAACCTTTGATTGGTGTACAAAACCCCTAAACCCCCAAAAGCCCTGAAGCCCTAAAACCCCTAAACCCTGAAGCTGTCAACCCTTAGCATTACCTCAAACCCTAAAACCCCTGAGCCATAAACACCCTCAGCCCTTTTAGCCTCACCTTTAAAGTCGACAGTTTAGCCATTTAGAGGGGGGCATTCTTCTGGGGTGGTAGGGTGGCCGAAATCGCAAGTGCTTGAATCACGCGTGCTCGAGTCGGCAGTGCTTGAATATGCTTGAATCAACAGCGCTCGAATCGGAATTGCGCTTGCTTGAACCAGGATTCTTGCTTGAACCGCTCAGGCGCTTCAATCGCGAACGCTTGAATCGCGGCGTGCTTGAATCACAGGTGCTTGAATCGCAGTGCTTGAATCGCGGACGGTGCTTGAAGCGGACTTTCTAACTTCATAAACAGGAAGGAGACCTACCAACAGCCGCACGTCGCAAGCCTACACAGGCTGCATCTTCGGTAGCCTGAGGCCATCTCCGCTTCTTGTCTGTCTGATAGTTCTCACCAACAAAAGGGGAACTGAGAACTGAGTTCTGATGAACTGACACTTGCCAAGTTGATCGAGACCAACTGTATAAGGAACTCACAGCACTGTCGCACACTACAACACAGCATCGTCCTGAAAGAAAAGTGTTGAAACAACAATACAAGTCGAACATGCAACATCTACAAATCCAGCCTCTGGGCAGAGATCGCACAGGCCTCCAGTCCCTGCATAGCCATCCGGACAGTCAAGGCAAGCAGACCTGTTCTCCGCCACAAGCTTTCCATCTGGACAGATCTGGCAGTAGCCATTCTGTGCCACTTGTCCATCCAAACAGAATATGCAGACAGAGCGGTTGACGCTTGGCACCATCCCAACAGGACAAGTGATGCAGCTGCCATTTAGACCTGCCTTTCCTGTCGGGCAGGCTAAACAGATCGCTGCAGCAGCATCCGGTTCTTCACCGGCAGGGCACAGGTTGCAGACACCAGCGGTTCCGGCGAATCCATGGGAACATGAAATGCAAGCAGATCGCGCTGAGTCTGGTTGCATTCCGTCGGGACACTGGGAGCAAAATCCATTGGTACCGAACATGCCAGTTGGACACGGAATGCAGATTGTGAAATCCGGCGAATTCTGCTGCCCATCTTGGCACTGATTGCACACGCCGCTTTGACCTGCTGTACCTTGCGAGCAGGTCAAGCAGTCCGAATGGTCGGCGCTGGGCTCAGTTCCATCGGGACACTCCTGGCACAACTCAGAGCCCGCGATGGGCGCCGCCGAGTTATCTCCGCAGGCGATGCAGCTCGTCTGCCGAGAATTTGGCTGCGCAGACCCGCGGGGGCACTGCTTGCAGTTCACTTGCCCCGCCTGATCCTGAAGATCCACAATGCTTATTTCTAATCCTACCCGCAGCCCTTTAGTGAATGCGTTTGAGCATCCGATAGTGCAGGGAAAGGGCTCAGCGTAAATAGAAGGTTTATCAGAAAATGTGCCCATTCTGCCCACTTGCAAGTGCTACGTCTCAATCTAACTTTTTGGACTGATCGGTGGTGGGGGTCCTGAAACTCGCCTGGTGGACAGTCTGAGCAACTTTGTCCATCTCCTGCTTGGCCCGGACTACAAAGCTCGCAGGTAGTTCCAGTACTCCGGCTGCCAACTCCGCAAACCTCGTCACAGAATCCACCAGTTCCGGCACGGCCAGCTGGGCAGGGATCACATTGACTCGTTGAAGCTGGAAAGGAACCATCCGGACAACGCGTAAGCTGGGGCCAAACATCAATTTCTGTGCCTTGGCTCGACAGCACCAGCCCCCACGCATCCATGCTCAGTGACAGTGCTGGAGACGCTGCTGATCTGGAAATCATCGTCAGCAGCTCTCCTGTGGATGTGTCGAAGAAGGCTAGCTGATGTAAGGTGGCCGCCACAAGAGCACCAAGCGTGCTGGAATAGGCTATCGAATTGATGCCATGGTTCAGGGCAGACTGACCAGATCCGAAGTCACGTACCTTCAAGCCCGTGTCTGGACTCCAAGTATGGATAGCTCCATCATCTCCGGCACTTGCTACTAGGCCACCCTGCTCGGGAATCGACTCGATCGACCGAATGGCACCATCATGGGCCTTGAACAGATGCTTTCGAGGCAGCTCAAACTGATACATTGTGTACGGTGCCGCAATCAGCACGTTGCACGTACCTACATTTTGAAGCATTTGGCATTCGTTGGCAGAGGTGCTTCCAATCTGACCGTACACAAAAAAGTCCCCTCCTCCCGGGGATGCTTGCTGCAATGCAGCTGCAATGCAATCCTCAAGCAAGTACGCTGTCGGCAGAGGCACGAAAGTACTTCCTGAGCAAATCCTCCCATCTGCTTGCAGCCTAGCCAAAGGCAGCGACCAAAGCCCCAGGAAGCCATCAATGGAGCCGCTGCTGAGCATTTGCAGACCATCTAGAGGCTTCAGGGCCAAAACCACATTGCTATGGCCGAGCAGCTCTCGCGTGACTGTCTTTGAGCTCATGCTCCACAATCGAATGTTCGAGTTGAAATAGCTACAGCTTGCAACTTCACTGTAGACTGAAACGTCGTCTGAGTAGGACAGAAATGCTACCGAATTGACTTGGCTTCCACCCAAGTTCTCGTCCACAGTAGCTATGGATTGCAGGGTTGAAACCTGCATGAATACGACACGGCCATTCAGCCCGCCAGCTATCACTTCCCCATTGTCGTGGTCGTAGGTCACCGATGTCACACGGCTACCAACGTTGCCTCCCAGAACGATGGCCAAGTCTGATCCTCTAAAAGCCTGCAGGGTGCCAATCTCGCCACCCACAAATAACAAGTCCTGCAACACAGGATCGGAAAACGTTGAATGAAGCATGGCTCACATTCAAGCCGTGTCGAGCAAGAATCTGAGAACGTGATATAGAAGATATATCAAGAGATTGAAGAAGTGCTAGGGTCTAGCAAAGTCTAGGAGAGTCTAGCAGAGTCTAGCAAGGAGTGTCCCACTGGCTGGAGTAGCTCATTGCCGTGACTGCACCAGCAGCTGAATCCAGGAGATCCGCCCTTGCACCACCCACAATGTGCCCCGCCGGAATTGCCGCAAGCCGTCGCTGAGCATGCTGAGCATTGCAGCAGCTCGAGTTCTCCCACTTTGATGCTGCCTAAGCTCACGTACTAATTCAAACTGCAATCGCATCCGAGAGTGTGCGTGCTCCTGCTTGACCCCACAGCACATCACAGCTCGCCGTCTGAGAGCCTGTCCGATTGCCACAAGAAGACAAAGTGCACGACGCAAGCCACCCTGCTTGATCGACTCCACATGCCGAGACCATCCAAGACTACATTGTCACAGCCGTGCCCCTGCAACTCGGAACCGCAGGGGGGCGACTGCTGTTGAGCAAAAGTGTTGAACCACCATGCTTGCTATGGCTCTACATGCAAGGGTATGCAAACATGCCTTATGCTTTGCCGCAATAGATGTCAACAGCTGTGCACAGAGTGCTCAACATGTCGAGCGCTCTGCCTTCTTTCGCCGAGCGCAAGGGTTGTGCGTCTCAGATTTACGTCAGCTTCTTCTCGTACTTGACCAACTCCTGAGGCTTCGGTCTACTGCGAATTGGACTGAAACTCTGTGACATTAGAATACATTAGACACTTCTGGCATCCAACCTCCCGCAAGCTCTTGCAAGCTCTTGCAAGCTTTTGCCGACGAGGTTCTTGCTGGATTTCTGGCTTCCAGCTTAGTAGTTGCTCAAAGTCGCGCTTTGTCAAGGTCATGAACTTCAGTCCCGTGGAGTCCGTGATTGTCAACTTCGGGACCCGCTTTCGTCCATCTCTGCTTCTCAGATTTGACACATAGACTTTGCGGCCTCCCAGCTTCAACTTCGTCACGATGAGACATCATATGAATTCACAAACAACGCTGACATGAGGCGGTACGAGAAAAACAACCAACACACAAGTCAGCACGCATGCCGTAGCAACCGTTCGTTCACTTGTTCAGGCTCGCTTAGACCTTATGCCTTCCACTGAGTTTTACGCATGCTCGGCTGGAGTCTCTGGCAGGGTCCTAGGACACTAGCGGCCGTTGGCAGTTTCGACTCTGCAGGGGAGCAGCCGGACACCAAGGAAGTGCCACGTCAAATGGCCACCACCCAGCAAAGCGTTGCCGTTCAAACCCTTCGGGCTTGCATAACCATGACCGTTCGCATCAGCATTGTGGAACCGGGAGGGTGGATGGCTATATCTGGCAAAGGTTCAAAAGGGCGGGCTCAAAACACCGAGTGGCAGATACCACAAACGCAGGAGACATAACGAAGGCATCATGAGGCAACAAGGCCTAGCGGAGGCCCCAGAGACATCTCCTTCTCGCGGGCATGGTCATAGGCCGCTCGACTTGAAGCGATCGCCGCATCCCTGGCCGCCAACTCCTCCTCGGTACATCCAAAGAAGTGCCTCTCAAGTCAAGTCATCGAAGAAGGCAAAAGGCGGATCTTACGCGTCAAGACCACGTCACTGGACACATCACTGCACCCCACGCTGTTCATGAACATTGCTTCAAGAAGCCCTCTGACATTGCGGGCCTTGGGTTTCCAGATGTGAAGCGCCGCAGAAGCAAAGCAGATGCGCCAGCAACCTGCACGGCCAGTGCAAACAGCTTCGGGCTTGAGAGGGAGAGCAGCTGAGCTTGCTACTGCGAACGACACTCAAAATTCCCACAGATCACGGTTTGCCCGGACACCGAATGTGCAAGCAAGCCTGGCCTGCTTTGGCTGCGCTCTGCTGAGGACAACTCTCGCCATGGCGCAGACTTCGCTGCTAGAACGAAAGGCTGTGTGTTGTAGGCTTTGTTGTACGCTTTTACAGCTTTTCACACTGTGCTCTGCTGCAAGTGCTATCGACAGGAGCTGGAAGGACGCAGCTTGGAACAACAGATTCTGCATGGTCTGAGACTTCTGGCCAGAGCTGGCTCACACTGGAACACAAGTCAGAAAGCGTTCAAGAGGGCAAACATGCACACAGCCTAACACAACTAAGCATTCTTCATTCTTCAGGCAAGTGAAGGTCTTGCTTTCATTTGTCCGACTGCTGTGTCTGGTCAGACCATGCAGACCTGCCCGCAGCCAGATTCTGGGAATGCGCAAGTTCAACTCGAAAAGCTTACAGTCCGCTTTGCGTCCCTCACTATTGCATCGTCGTCTTTTAATCTAGTAACACGTCCGCCTGGCACAGTGTGGGCCAGGCTCCTGAGCAGCTTTGTCTCTGTGGCCTGGGCGACAACTTTCTCAGCGGAGCCACTGGAAAGGCCCCGGAAAAACATCTTCTTGTAGAGGTTGCCTGCAACTGGCGCTGCTCGGCTTCTTCGAGGCCCATCGACAGCGCAGACACGTCGGCAGCCATGCGCCTTCGTGCCATAACCTTTCATGACATCCGCATGGTTCGGGCCCGTAAGCAGCGCCTAAGGGTGGAGTTCGTGGAATGGTCTGGTCATCTTGCGGAGATCGTTTCGAAGTGTTTAGGAACACCCAAGGCAAAGAGAGATGATGAAGAGGAGGTCAAAAAAACAGAACGGATAAACCAGTGCAAGCAAGGAATGTTGATGAACAGATACAGAACGCCACTGGGACATGGCCTCCAGCATGTGCAGCATCTTGACCCATTGGCGCCCACAGCCCAGAGCAAGAGACACCGCACTCAAGCCTGGAGGCATCTCAAACCGCAGGGGCTGCTAGTGTCAAAACCACATCAAAAGCTCTGAGTTTCTGTGCCTATGGCACTAGGGCGGAGGAGTCGATTCTGCATGGCATAGAAGACACCTTGCAAAGAGAAGCAGCTCAACTACGGAGCGCAGCAAAAAAAACCTGAAGACTTCAGTTTCAATTATGCTCTGCCAATGTTTGCATCCACAAGACTGAGGACAGCTTCCCAGGCGAGGCCTGCGGCATCAACTCAAGAAGAGACAGGAAGGCAGACCAGGAACACGACAAGATGTGCCATGCCAGAGAAGGAAACTGGGCATCACCTGGTATGTTTGAGACCCTTGCGGCCGATGAGGCCTCGGCCACAAGCACGTAGCACCGAGTCCATCAACATTGTGTCTGGCTGGGGCCCCTGGTCATGCAAGAAAGATTGCTGCCATTCGGAGCAAAGTGCACAAGTGTCGTCACGCATCTTGATGCCATGTCGACCCAGCTCGAGGGCAAGTGTTAACAAGCAAAGGGCAGCAACGGCAACAACTACCGCAGAAGTCCCTCACCATCGTTAGGCCGCTACGCAACCATCAAAGAGATTCCGGGAGATTGACGTGCATCGCCAGCACGAAAACATCTACAGGCCAAAAATGGACGCTCGACTGCTGCATGGGTCCACAGAGTCATGGAGACTGCAGGTGAAAACCCAGCCTCCTACTCATCTGTGACAAGTAAGTCAAAGCCACGAGCAAAGGCAGAAGGCAGCGCCGTGCAACTATGAAACACTCCGGCAGCCAGTAGGTAATGGGATGAACTGAAGCGAGAAAGACTACTTTGGAACAGGCCCCGTAAGCACCCACCGGCCCGCCGGCCATACAGATCTCGATGGCACAGAGAAAGCGGTCGATCGACTCCAGAGCTCCGACACGTGGATGCGACGCCGCGACGCACAGTGCCACGGAGCCTCCTCCCAGATCTGGTGCAAGAGCTCCTCAATACAGGTGCCCAGTGCAGGCCAACAAAGGAGGGACCGCTTCAAACCCCGTCTCCAGGGCAGCTGTCCAACGATGAGCTCGCTCGCATGCACTGATCACCTGCAGTTGTTGGCTGTTCCATTCAGCACGAGAACAACAACTGGGAGCTAATGTTGCCCGAGACACCGCCCCAATCAGTACAACGTTCGGCTTCAAGGGCTGCAGCACCAGCAGCGCCTCCGCCCAGCGGGCACCTCCAGTGCATGTTACTTTGCGCAATCTTGCCATCAACGTCTCGAACACCAACGATGCCAGACACAAAGTTAGAACCTCTGAGGAGAGTCAGCAAGAACCAGCTTATTGTGTTTGAGCCAAAGAAGTTAACACCATCCCATCAAGCACGGTAGGTTTGATTCAGATCCAGGTCTGCAATTCAGCGGGATTTTGCGGCCTTTAAGCCATGCTCTCTTAGCAAAATCACAAAGCGTACTAGCCGGTGCACAAGCGGTACACCCCGAACCCGGGACAAACCCTGGAGCCCTAAGCCTTTACGATCTTGCGCTACGGCCGACACAAGGTCAGCTGCAGCAGTCGCAGGGCATTGCTTCCTTCTAGGGCTTGGGTTTAGAATTTCCCCAGTCATTGAAGAATCGTGGGATTTATGACAGAACTCGAATGAACTCAAGTATGCAAGGCTCTGAAAAGTTGCGCCGCTTTTGTGTTGGCCCGACATTACGCAAAACGCTGGATTTGAAACTTAATATGGGCCACGAAATCTGTGTGGGCAAATCCCTTCGGTTCTTGGGTTTGCCCAACCCGGATTTCGGCCTGGTTTGTCGGTGTGCTGGATGCGAAAAGGGTTTACAACTGTTTCCCCGAACACTAAGCCCGAAGCCCCGAAACCGAAAGAGCAGCCCACGCCTAAAGCCACCAGCAGCTTTGCACCCCCCGGCAGTGCTACTTACGATCTTGAGTTCTTGTACAAAAAAACCCAGTGCTCATCAATGACTGCGAAGGCCTAAACCCTAAACCCTACACGGAGGCAGCGACCTGCGACTGCAGCTGATCTTGCGTCGTGGCAGAAGATGCACGGAGGCATTGCCAGGAAGCCCCGTAAACCCTGACAGCGTCTACCCTTTGACCCTAGAGGCCCTGGAGCTTAAAGCCATCCGAAACCTAAACCCATGGGATCCGATTCGTGTTGTCTCGTCCTGGTTGCATGATTGGATCGACATACAACTCTGATCTGAATGGGTCCAGAGGGACCCCCGTATGGGTCGGGCCACAAACTCCGACAACCGCACGTGGCGCGATTTTCTCATAAACCAGCCAGACCCCAGAATTCAGAACACGGACCAGCTGAGACCCGTGCTGTGCCTTTCGCAAGGGTACTTGCAATGGTCCCGACGGCCACAACATCCAGCTCAGCGCGCTCAATGGAAGCCAGCGCTTGCAACCCCGCCTCGCCGAGAGCTAAACTTGCTAAACTCCAACCCACATCTCACATGGACACTTTGATGAATTTGATGGCAGAAGGCTCCTCCCAAAGCGAAGCCCGCTCGCAAGATGTCGCAATGGCACTGGCGACGATCGCATCGGGACGCACACGCTCCTCGCGAAATCTGTAAATGCCAAAATGCCTGCTGCAATTCGTGTAGGAACTCATTCAGCACCTGCACAGCATCTGCACAAAGGACCTCGGCCATGGCCTCCAAAAGCAAGCCATGAAGAGCCGGCTGTCTGCGCAAGGCCGCTGCCACAGCTCCGAAGCCTCATCGTTCACGGATGTTTGAGACAATGTTTCTTTGGCCTTCCTGAAAGTACAACTGAAGGAGTCCGGAATGAAGATTCGCCCAGAAGACTGACACCCTCTGTTTGAAACAAAAGAACTCTGGACAGATGGTACTCGACTGCCAGACTCCCTACAGGCGATGCTGCTGGGTAGGTGTCAACAGACCCATGAGCCACCGTTGGACTACGATGGGCATTCCAGACACGGTGACCACGACGGCTGAGCGGGGACCCTCGAGAGTGACTGCTGTCAAGCAACTTTTTACATCTGGCTGCTGCACTTGCCTGGCGACAGAATGTTGCTAACTGGGCAGCAACTCGGCAGCAACTCAGGACAAGCACAAGACTAAAGCCTAAAGCGTAAAAGGAAGTGCATATCTGCCTCAGCTCGGAGAGAAGAGCCAAGGAGGCCCGCCAGGCGAGGGAGCGGCCACACGCTGTAATCGTGGCATTGTAGAGAATCACGTTCGGCCTCAAGGCGACTGCGTCTGAGAGCTTTGAGTACTGAATCAAAGACAGAGTTCAACGTGCTACTAGTGCTTGCTCGCAGCTTATAGTAAATGTGCGACTATCCGATTATGCCTATGTTTCTCATGGCGACTCGGGCCAGGACTTGTAGATCTGTGAGAAGATAGCCACTGCATCCTGGAGATGCCATGTGCGTTATGTGCGTTGCCCACACAGCATGTCTCGAGGTGAGACTCTGTGATCACACATGCACACAAACCACAGAACACAAAAAACACACACAACAAACCCCGAAACACACGGAGAGCCTGCCATCGTAGTTGCCGCCCAGCTTTTGTGATGGCGCACGTGATCGCGCGCCAATTTTGCATGCAAAGCTTACAACGGTCGGTTCTGACAGAAAACTCAGAACAACACTACAAAGAACGCTAAGCCGATATTGGGTTGCTGGAAACACTGTTGCGCCCCCTTAAAGTCTTCAAGCATGTTAGCATCGTAAACCTGTGCAACTACGAAGTAGCTGCCTTCTGATGTTGCTCTGATGCTCCGAGCCTCAGAGCATGCCCCCCTGATGCTACCAGGGAGTCTGTGCAGCTTTAGCTCGTCCACATGGAGATGTGCACCATTGTGCACCAGATGTGTAGCAAACGGTGCAATCCGGAATCCAACGGCAAAGAGACCAGCACAAACGCAGGACGCGCCAACATCAAGAAGCGCCAAAAGACCTCCTAGCATCATCAGAGGTTTCTCATTGTCTTCACAGAATCTGTACAATGTTTGTCTGGACTGGCGGTCACATAATGTGATCCGCAGAATGATACCACGTCACAGTGAAACGAGAGCTGGGCTGAACGGCTGTGCAAACGCTGCTGTCACGCCGTCACGCCTCCAGAACAAGACAAGCACATTGCACCTTCCAGAGCATTTGATTCTGGATACTCCTGGGAAACGAGACCCTGGCGTCAACTTGAATCAGAAGCGCTCTGCACCTGACCGTGTGACTATCTTGCAAGTTTCTACACAGTACGGACGTAGCGCCAAACGACGCCAACATGTTCAAACGTGTGCCTCAAGGTGATCTGCGGCTGGATGCACCCGGTTTGCTGATGATCCTCCACTAGCTTACGAGGGGGGTTGCGGAATGCTGAGAGAGGACACGACCCCGACCCCTCCCCATCGTTCTCCTGCGACCTTTGGGAGCATCGGCCCTCGACTACCAGGACTGCCTCTCTCACTTCGACATGCTTGCTTGTCACCTTTTACTTCCACATCCATGAAATCGTAACGGCTGCGAGGTGCCTGCCTTTGGCTTCCGCCATATTCGGCAGGCAGTAAAGTGTCAAGCTGACTGTGATGCCAATTGCAGGCAAAACCAGGCCTCACACATTCTTGCACGTGTCTTCTGGAACAAGCTCATCTCTGTTGATATCAAGTCGAAGCAACATCATGCAACCTGACATGTCCAGGCTGCAAAGTTCAGTCCCTGTGCCAACAAGCTCCCGGCTCATCATTGGAGCTGCAGAAGTCACCCAAGGCTGAGTGATGCAAGACATGGGCGACTATCAGAAAGCACAGTGCGCGGGAAAAGCACCGACCGACAAGCAATGTTTAGCACCATTCCATGGCTCTCAGCTCACTACAGCCAGCCACATCATCAGCACGATGAAGGGGAACGCCACAAAGAACAAGCAGCAAAGCACAGAGACGAAATCCTGGGCTGTGGGAAGTGCTGGTAGGCTGGCACTCCTCAACACGCCCTCTCAACACGAAACCGTTTAATCAGGAACTGCTCATGCAACGGAACACCTTAGAGACCTTAGCATGGGACTGCCGCCATCCACCAGCATCTCAGCAGACCATTGGATGCAACGTGCACTCCTTTAACTCGCTCACCCAGATCATGTGCAGATGGAACCCCTAGTCTGGCCCGGTGGCAACTTATCAGGGTCCCCGTTGCAGACATGTTCTCTCTTGAAGAGATGCCTCTTTGTTCTCATGAGACTTTAACATGGAAGCCTGAAGCCAATGAGCCAACGAAAACGCAAGGCTTCACGCATCTTCACGCGGTGGAGGCTGCCTTCACCAACTTGTTTTGCTAGCAACGAAGGAAGAGTGGACTCCTGCATTGACCTTAGCAGCCTTAGCAGCCTTAGCAGCCTTAGCAGCCTTAGCACGTTGATGCTTTTCACATGCAAGAGCACGTCAAAGAAAGAGTCTTCGCCCGCTGTACACCGTTACGTGCAGCATGCAGTGCGGCAGCAAATGTCGTGGATCTCTTTGGATGAACACCCTCGCAAGGAGCATCTTGGGGTTGGATGGAACACCCCAACAGCGTGAATTCACGTATCACCTGGAAGTGCGTCTCTAAGGAGGCCTGGCGATCGAAGCAGCAAAGCTCCACCTCAAATGGGATGGATTCCTGCAGCATTACAGACTGCAGTCGGTCCAACCCAAGCTCCATGGCAGTTGCCGGTATCTCTTCGTCCTCATATTCATACACGTAGTCCTCTGAGTACAACTGGAAAGGTGAGAAAACGACACCAAGGCGTGTCAATGGGCGTGTTAGCCGCAACTTTGAAGCTGCTAGACGCATAACGTTCTCATCGGATACAAACACGCAGCAACCATCGTTTACTCCCGCATCCAGCCAAACAAGAGCTCGCAGCACGGACAGGAACAAGGACACGAAGGATCGCTGTTCAGCACCAGCAGCACCAGCAGCATTATTGCCTCCAGTGCCTATCTGGCCTATCTCTGTCAACAACTGGTTGAGCACTGTCCCACCCTTACTGAATCCAAGGACGTAAAGTGACTCGCGCGGAGTCTGTCTCAGGCCGAAAGTCTTTGACAAGTCTCTTAACAGGAGCAGCAAATGCTCTGCAGCAGAGCCGGGGCTGTAGGTTCCGTTCAGCGGATCCCCTGTGCTGTTTGTCTCCAGAAAGTGATCAAAGCAGCTATATCCTTCGTGTTGTCGTGAAGGTCGAACCAAAACAATGTGAAATTCCGAGAAACGAGAGGCTAGAATCGCTGCAAGTGCCTCTGTGTTCCAGTCTTGCCACTGGCTCAAATCAGGGTCTGCCACCATCTCATCATGACCGGCGGATATATCACCGGGAAAGAACACGAGCACGTCTGCGCAAAACGACCGCAGAACCACATCTAGGGTGTCAATCTGGTCACGCGCACCCTTGGCACGCACGGTGCGCACAGAAGAAACCATGAGCTGCTCGGCAGCGATGACTTTTTCATTCGTGTGACGCTGTTGACGGTGGTTGTGACGATGGTAATGTATGGTAATGATGGCAACATCTGACAGTGAAGATGCGCAACAACCACGCAGATCAGTACGAGCTTGGGCCAAAGGCTTCTTCAAATGCACGGACAAACCGTACCTATCCGTGCCTTCAAAAGAGAATCCTCTTCAATCCCACTTTCGACATTCTTTGAACTGGTCTTCCGGCAAGGCATTGCTCAGCAATGGTCCGACCCCAGCCAAAAGCCCTTTTCAGGGGATTTTTCATCCCGTCTTGAAGACTGGATGCAAGGCCGAGGTCAATGCCGAAGTCGAATTGCAAGAACACTTTCACTATCGGCCCATGCCACCCATCCTTGGTGCCACATGACAAAAGCTGAAATCACACAGGAAAAGACTGGAACTCACAGCTTCCAAGGCTCATTTGCTGCAACTGGGCCATGGCCTGTGGGTTTTGCATCATCTGCTGTACCTGGCATGGCAGCATGGCTGACGCATCTCTTGGCAATGATATTGTGGCACGTGTGGCTCTACAAAAGCCTGCGCCATCATGTTGGGATCCTGCATCATCTGCTGCGCCTGCACAGCTGACATGTGACTGCTGGAAGCCACATTTACCGATCCAGGAGCACGGCACGAAAGACTCCTTCTGCCGTCCGGCTTGAAGTGAGGCAAACAGCTAATTCCGAAACCATACCGTGAATCGACTGTACGTCAACTTCAAGACACGGCGTTGGCGCAGCAAAAGGAGGCTTACCCTCTGCAGACGCTTTAGAACTGTCTTTGCAAACCTGCATTATAGATGAGATTATCCTGTACCAGGGTTTCTTCATAAGATATTCTGCCAAGCGTCTCTCCCCGCACAAACTTCTTTGCATGGTGTATCCAAGTTTGCAAGGGCTTCCCAACTCGCTTTTTGCCATACTCGATTCTAGTGGCACTGCTGGGCATAAACGATGCCTGTCTTAAAGGATCTGAATTTGTACTACGAAGGATATGACCTAAAAACTTAGCACGTCGGAAATTATGGAACTCACGAAATAGTAGTGTCTTTCGCTGGTCGTCCCGGCTTGGAAATGCTATCATGCTTGCTTTTTCCAGAAGCTTTGCATGAATATTTGTACGGTCTATTTAGGTGTGAGCTTTGTTTAAAATCTTGCGAATGCCCCTCATTTGGAACGCATTGAGATTCTTTGACATAGCAGTGGTTAAGTGTATAGTTTCTAGCCCGTATAGTAGCTCGCTGCGGATAATGGCATCATATACTATTTGCTTTCCAATAAGGGCTTACTTTGATCCAAGTGCGTCTTACCTCTTGTAGCTTCTTGGATAATTATTTCATGACGAATATTGACCTCCCTGTTAACTTCACACTATTGTGAAGTTCTGGTGCGTTGCGTGTGTGTGTGTGTGTGCTTGCGCATGTGCGTGTGCGTGTGCGTGTGCGCGTGCGGGCGCGGGTGCGGGCGCGTGTGCGCGTGCGTGTGCGTGTGTGTGTGTGTGTGTGTGTGTGTGTGTGCGCGTGCGCGTGTGTGCGCGTGTGCGCGCGTGCGCGCGTGCGCGTGTGCATGTGCACGTGTGTGTGTGTGTGTGTGTGTGTGTGTGTGTGTGTGTGTGTCTGCGTGTGTCTGTGTGTGTGTGTGCGTGTGTCTGTGTGCCTGTGTGTCTGTGTGTGTGTGTGTGAAATTTGCTGTACATGCAGGATTGGGGTCACGCCCGTTTCTCGCTTTCATGCAGGGGGTCCCAGATCTGCTACTCGTGCTGGGACCAACGAAAACCATGAGTAGCAGACGTGCAAACGTACCTGCTATGAGAAGTACCTGGGTGGTTGCGTCCGCAGCTGGTATCTTCAACGGGGACAGAAACCTCATCCCCGCAACGTGTTACATGTTGTCGTCAGCATTGCACCTCGCAGACGACAACATATGCCATTCCTGGAGTCTGGCACGACGACGACACAGGGACAAAACCCTCATCCCAACGATCATTCCTGTGGTCTGATCTGGGACCTGAAACCTAGCCCAAACAATGACGACGATAGTCACTGAGCATGCTTCATCTTGTCCAGTCGAATGTCCGTCTCATCAGTTCCAGACAAGTCAACGTGTGTATGGCTCGAGCGTGTTGTCCCGTCACGGGGCCAGATCCCAGAAGACCCGGGCATCCGGGATTGACTGAGCTCTGCTGACTGAGATACTCATTCATCGGGATCATCTGCAGTAGGCTTTGCGGCATGAGTGAGTGCGAGCACAGACAGGTCATCGGGATCATCCCAATTGCAGACGCAGGGGTACCCGGACGGCACTGCTTTGTGGTTTTCGAAATGCATCGTCAGCTGAAAACAGGTAGCTTGACTCAGGCTGCGTCAGGCACAGACACATGTCCTCCCCGCTGATGTTGGTAAAGTGGCGTGCTCCTCCCTCTTGTTGTTGTTGGTGAGCTTCCTCTGCACCTCCTGCCGTTGTTGTTCATGTGCATGAGTTAACATGTCTCTTCTGCTAATGTTGGTAGAGTGTTGCTGAACTCACTCTGGTTGTGGTGATGATCTACCTCGCCCGTTCTCCGTCTCAAGATGTCTGACCTGTCTTTGTCCCGTCCGCCCTTTGGGGGCATGATGCTGCCATATGTGATGCCCTGACGCCTGCCCTGGTATGTCGCCCTCTGGGGCATGTGTGTGTGTGTGAACCTGCTGTACATGCAGGATTGGGGTCACGCCCGTTTTTCGCTTTCATGCAGGGGGTCCCAGATCTGCTACTTATGCTGGGACCAACGAAGACGTGCAAACGTACCTGCTATGAGGAGTACCTGGGTGGTTGCGTCCGCAGCTGGTATCCTCAACGGGGACAGAAACCTCATCCCCGCAACGTGTTACATGTTGTCGTCAGCATTGCACCTCGCAGACGACAACATATGCCATTCCTGGAGTCTGGCACGACGACGACACAAGGGACAAAACCCATCCCAACGATCATTCCTGTGGTCTGATCTGGGACCTGAAACCTAGCCCAAACAATGACGACGATAGTCACTGAGCATGCTTCATCATGTCCAGTCGAATGTCCGTCTCATCAGTTCCAGACAAGTCAACGTGTGTGTGTGAGAGAGAGAGTGAGTGAGTGTGCGTGCGCGTGTGCGTGCGTGCGTGAGTGAATGTGTGCATGTGTGCACGTGTGCACGTGTGCGCATGTGTGTGTGTGTGTGTGGGTGTGCGTGTGGGTGTGCGTGTGGGTGTGCGTGTGCGTGTGCGTGTGCGTGTGCGTGTGCGTGTGCGTGTGCGTGTGCGTGTGCGTGTGCGTGTGCGTGTGCGTGTGCTTGTGCGTGTGCGTGTGCGTGTGCGTGTGCGTGTGCGTGTGCGTGTGCGTGTGCGTGTGCGTGTGCGTGTGCGTGTGCGTGTGCGTGTGCGTGTGCGTGTGCGTGTGCGTGTGCGTGTGCGTGTGCGCGTGCGCGCGTGTGCGCGTGTGCGCGTGTGAGCGTCCCGCGTGCATGAGCGCGTGCGTGAGCGCGTGCGTGCGTTTGTGTGCGCGCGTGTGTGTGCGTGCGCTGGTGCACGCGTGCGCATTTGCGCATGCGCGCGTGTGAGAGTCCCGCGTGCGCACGCGTGTGCGTGCGCGTGCGCGTGCGCGTGCGCGTGTGCGTGTCCGTGTCCGTGTGCGTGTCCCTTTTCGTGTGCATGTGCGTGTGCGTGTGCGTGTGCGTGTGCGTGTTGCGTGTGCGTGTGCGTGTGCGTGTGCGTGTGCGTGTGCGTGTGCGTGTGCGTGTGCGTGTGCGTGCGCGGGTGCGTGTCGTTGCGTGGCGTGTGCTGTGCTTGTGCGTGTGCGTGTGCGTGTGCGTGTGGTGTGCGTGTGCGTGTGCGTGTGCGTGTTGCGTGGCGTGTGGCTTGTGCGTGTGCTGTCGTGTGCTTGTGCGTGTGCGTGTGCGTTGCGTGTGCGTGTGCGTGTGCGTGTGCGCGTGCGCGCGTGTGCGCGTGTGCGCGTGTGAGCGTCCCGCGTGCATGAGCGCGTGCGTGAGCGCGTGCGTGCGTTTGTGTGCGCGCGTGTGTGTGCGTGCGCTGGTGCACGCGTGCGCATTTGCGCATGCGCGCGTGTGAGAGTCCCGCGTGCGCACGCGTGTGCGTGCGCGTGCGCGTGCGCGTGCGCGTGCGCGTGTGCGTGTCCGTGTCCGTGTGCGTGTCCCTTTTCGTGTGCATGTGCGTGTGCGTGTGCGTGTGCGTGTGCGTGTGCGTGTGCGTGTGCGTGTGCGTGTGCGTGTGCGTGTGCGTGTGCGTGTGCGTGTGCGTGTGCGTGTGCGTGTGCGTGTGCGTGTGCGTGTGCGTGGGCGTGTGCGTGTGCGTGTGCGTGTGCGTGTGCGTGTGCGTGTGCGTGTGCGTGTGCGTGTGCGTGTGCGTGTGCGTGTGCGTGTGCGTGCGTGGGTGTGTGTGTGTGTGTTGTGTGT